ATGTTTAAAGCCTCCCTTTTATCAGGCAGTCCTTCAACTGCTGCCCTCTCAGGCATCATTTGCGAATATGTCCGCTTCAACAGTGTCGGTTATTTTTTCCGATTCTCTTTTTGCACACTGTCCGTGCACTGCGATCCTTATTTGCGATGTCAATCAGGGAGTGTAAACATCCCTGTAAATGCATTTCGTCGTTGGATTCGTCAATGACAAAACCATGGCCATGGTAGCTGCAGCCTGGGGTTACGACGTCGGTAACTTCCTGTTGCCGAAATACCAGAAACATCTGGTTGTTCCGGTGAATGATGACTGGCGGCCATCAGACGGCACGAATGTGTACTCAGTGAAGGTACTAAAAACTATCCTGACGATGCCGAAGGCCTGAGAGTTGCCTCAAAAAGGGGAGCCAACGTGCAACCTCTCTATCTCCGAGCCGTGCGAATTGGGCGCGAGTAATGAGGACAAAGTACATGTTCATGCCCTTAATATTTCTTTGCCAGTATGTTCGCAATTAGATGTCGGACTCAGACGATGATGATGACCTACTGTGTCGTCCGAGGCAGCTACTTGCTTGGTCGAAAGCATCCCGTATACTGCAATAGGCATAATTACCTCCAGTAATTCGTAACCCAAGAAAAGACGAAGAGATGCCGCACATCTTCTCTATGTTAAGTCTGCCGTGCCAACGTTCGCCATCGACTTCATACCGATAACCGCGTTTTATTCGTTATTCCTGAGGGCTGTCTAGGGAAATGCCGGCGCCTGTGTCGGTGCCAGCTGACAACTTGGTATGTCACAGCAGCCACAGACGGACATGATTGAAGTTATAGTTCAGTTAGCGTCCCTAAAGTAACATTGTTGGCAATCTATTAGAAAGACTCGGTTACCTGGCCAAATAAGTGGTCGCCCTCAACAACAGCATGCAACAACTGTAGGCGACAATAACGGATTTTGTCAGTACATTGGAGAGGAGCGCCACGGCTGCCGAAATCAGCCCCTCTCGCCTGCATTTACCATTTTCCAAGGCAGAAGCCTATGAAGACATCATTCTTCAGCTAATTACCGAGAAAGGGTTGGCACACAGGGCAGAAGGTATAATTTTTTTAACTGTTTTTAAATCAAACAATTGTCCCTGGTAAGGGTGCGAAATGAGAAAGGTTTCATAAGAAATCTCCTGACTGTCCCAAGCGGTCGGCTGCTTCACTACAACTTCTGCTGGGGAGGGGGGCGTAATCAAGGAAAAGCGGTTGTTCCTAACCTGCCCGTTGTTTGGCATCCTCAACGGTAGGTCTACCTGGTGCTTATTGACAGGTGCAGATTCTGTTGGCCAAAATCCCCTTTTTTATTAACTGCGTCAGTGAGGTAATTCTACAAGCAGCTATTGATTGGTTCCATCGGTCGAATGGCCGGTATGGGGGGAGGTCGAAACGCAGGCGCAACATCTATATGGTACGACATTTTGCTTTGAACTATTGCCTACATGTGTTCAGTTTCAAGGAGTCCCCACTGATGACTCTGCATGTCCACAATTATCCTCTCTCAAGGACGCGATTATTGAACTAAAACAACCACTGCTAACACACTTCGCATTATTACCCCTCGCAAACTATCATTATAAATATATTAAAGTACATCGCCAGTTCAGTTTCAGTTTATTTTCAGTTTATTTGGTAAGGATAATATGCAAAGCCTTTGAAAACCCTATTGATTACCTGTCCGCTCGTTAGAATAACTGTACACGAACAAAAAATGTTCACTATTAAAACAGTACTTGGTTCATTTGAGTAGCATTGTCTCAGAGAAAATATTTGTCTGGACCAGGGGTATTAATTCAGATTCAGACTGTCGAGGGAAAACAGGGGACACAAATAATCATCCAAGCGTTTCTTGAAGAGTTGCAGGGATGTAGCCTCCATGACTGACTGAGGGAGATCGTTCCATTTCTCCACTACCCTCTGCGTGAAAAATTCAGAACGGAGAATCAGCCTGGACATTGTTGTCCGTAACTTCATCGAGTGACCACGAAGATTGGGTGAAAGGTGCCACTGAAACATGTCCTCAAATTTAAGCCCATACTCAAGGCCATGTATTATCACCGGAAGATGATTACCGGAGGTCTGCCAATACCGGTAACAGTGACTCTGTCTACCCATCTTTAGAGATTGAAAAGCCAGTCGCACAGCCCACTTTACGTGACCCTCGTTGAATGGATGTGGGACTGCGTCGGACTCTCATTTCACTGTGGCCAGTGTCGCCCTGCCCTCGTTGACCGCGGAGATAATTAAAGGCAGTCACTGTTTCCTATTAAGATGGTTCTTAAGACCAAATAAGTGCAGGCAAATTAATGTAGCAGTGGGCTTACTTACGTCTTTGCACTTGCCTTAAGATTGTGGGCCGAGGCGATGACTACATGTTAAGGCGGGTGAAAAGATGCCTGGATGAACAACGACAGCTCAATCAATATCTACACTAATTAACCTGTCACTAAATGGGTTTTATCAATTTTCTTACGATGGCATCAGTCCATTGACTTCGAGAAGGGTCCTCCTGGGATTTAGTGGTAGATTAAGTGGTAACTCTTATTTATATCATTAGAAACCCCTGTTTTGAATTGGTTTCTATATCCATCGCTATCCTTCCCCCCATAGCGACAATTTTCGCGGTTTTTGATGTCATCTCCCGCATTCCGACCTCATGCGGTCTGTCGACGCTCACGGCGGAACCCTCAGTATTCACTGTCTACTAGTAGTTCGGTCGTACCTCCCTTCCTCACTGCTCGGCTGAGCTCGAAACGTGCTGTGGCCGATCGCATCTGGGTTCCTCTCGTCTGGCCTCTTTGACGCGGCGTACCAATCCGGCCCAGACGATCTCAATTGTGAATCCCGTATACAATGCCATTTGCAAGCCAGTCCTGTCTGACCCACATTCGTACCCATCAAGGCGGACATTTATTGATACCCTGACGATGACCGAAAACATTCCGTTATATACCGCCACCTACAGGCCAGTCCTGCTCGCTTTTTTCTGTTACTATTTTTAAAGAGGGGTTTTTTCTCCTGAATAATTAATCCAATCATTTTTAACTTTTTCCGAGGAGTTGTTTTTACCCCTCAATCATCATGTTTCTCAATGGACTTCTAATTCAGAAACTATGAATTGCATTTTGTAAAGATTCAGCCCACCTCGTCTAAAACTCGCATGCAACTTTATTTTAACTTGCTTTGATGGGACCCCGACGGGTCTTTAATAAAAATTATCTATCTATTGGGGCCGCTCATTATGTCCGCAGTCAACGAAGGAAGGCGGCGGCATTAGTCACATTAGAATGCGAATCCGATGCAACCCCCGCCGGTCAATGAGAGTAATATACATAGAACTGTGTTCATGGCCTTCGAGTGCCCGGGGACGGGCAGACGAATTCACTAATCGAAACGTCAGGCCTCCATCTAATCTCCCTAATGAAAGCCCTCTTTTAACATGCCACAAGGGAAATGCATTTCCTCTGATTTCAACGTTATTAACTGATTGGAGCCAACTTTAATATGAACAGTATTGCGTATAATTCTTCACGGATATTTTATGCAGAGACCGTCAGTAGCCAAAGGGAATGGTCCGTTTATTGATACAGAAGCCTTTGAATGTCCCATGAAGAACTGCATCCTTGGATGTATTTTTCACACAGATTTCTTTCATTTGCCTATACCAGGCAAACCGTGGTTTCTAACCATTGTCTGTCCACTTTACTATGACGTTTGGTAGATTACGCACTATCTGGGCTGACGTTTTGTGAACGTATACGGGATAATTATCGTTGGTCTGCTTTCGCCGAGGCTGGGAGAATTCAATAACACAGTTAAGAGTACTGAGATCGCCGATAGTTTAAAAGGAGTGCACTTGCGACTACAAAACGAAGGATATAAAGGATGGGAATGAAGGGGGAATAGGGGGACCTCCGCACATTCCTTACCGGATGGTGTGGCTAAACTTGGCTGTCGTTTCGAATGCCACACAGTAAACACGCCAGAGAGCCTCGTCTGGCATAATCATTGCCTCCTCTGGTTACAGTGGCGAGACGCGGCCATCCGAGACTGCTAATGGCAGGGTGTGCTTCTGTATGATTTACAATCATTGTATTAACCTCCGCTCGAATCTGGTGGAGCCCGTTTAGTTGCTTGGATCACGTCAATGAGGTATGAGATGTCTTTTAAGTTGCGTTTGATCTTTATTATGTGGTTACGGACATCTTATTTCTACCATGATATCGGGCTGCTGACGTCAATTAATTTTCTTGGATATAATTAGAGATATAGAGCAGTGAGGCAACTATCATTCGAAATATTTTACAGTAAGTATGGTTTATTCTAAAAAAATAATCTATCTGTCTGGTTTCACGTGGCATACCAGGGTTAAGTGCCGAGCGTGCACAGTCTCGCACAGTTTTTTGAACAAGCCTGTCGTAAATTTGCAGGAAATAAAATATGAGGATAGAGCCTGTCTTCGGGAAGGTTACTTGTCATATTCACTCATCCTGAGTTATCACCACCAACAGTGATTTGGTGTTTTCGGCCAAGCAGGCATTCTCACATATTGGTAGTAGTTGAAATGCGACTCTTGAAACGCACATAAGAAGAAGAATAGGCTGAGATGTTTAACTCTGATAATGTGAGATTATACTTTGTGTATTAGAGCAACCATTTCCGAAAACAAGATGAACATGATGATTGTGCAAAAATATCATTAAGTGTCTAATTCTGAGTTTCGAAGGACAGGAACGTTTTGGACGAAAATCATGCTGAAGCTTTTAATACTTCGCCTGTAGCTCAATCGCACTGAAAATTCACTTTCAAGAAGCTACATTACCTTACAGTGCAGGCAAGTCGTAGTCCTGGACCTAGGTTTGTATGCGGCCATCCGACTACATTATATCTCCAAAATCTCAGACTTTACTATTCTGAGGCATTGACCTCGTGTATTTTCGAAATTAGCGTCTGTAGCGATAAAATATGATCTGGAAACCTATCGTGGAAGATGATTCTCAGCTCTTCTCTAATAAAGACGAACTCCCTGAATACTTATGCATATGTATTCCATTAGTTTCTCTCCCAAATCAAGTGAGCATATTTGTGTCTTTCTACGACGTGACTTAGTGCACCAACATCAAAGAACTGCGGATGTGTATTCAACTTTACAGCATACAACGGCGAAACTTTTTCGGAAATAAATTCTCAAGCAGATCATACCCAGTTGATAACAGTCAACCGAGTGTTCTTAAATTTCCTGTTAATGAGGCAAGCATTTCTGAGTATTCAGAATCTTCGAAATATAGTTCTACTTCTAATCCATTGTAATTGATAAGAATTGCGTACTTAAGATGCTGATACCTGTTACAGAACTTATATTCAACACTTTATACTTTTGGAATAATTTATACAACTGTATTAAGTAAATTTCGTTTGTTATCGGTAAAAATAATTTGAAAAACAACTACCGATCGGTAGACGTATATATACGTATACCGACCGGTAGTTGTTTTTCAAATCATTTTTACCGATAGCAAACGAAATTTACCGATCGGTTTGTAAAACTTATGTGAGAGATATTCGGTATCGGCACATCTAAAGATGTTTGTTATGATCACATGTAGATGAAACAATTGTTTACAGGCGGCACATATTTGTGCGGATATAATTAAGCTCAAATAAATCGGTTATTTAAACTTCATTTGGAAATTCCCGATGCAAGCGCTGGCATAATTGATTAGAAAAAACTTCAAATACCGGAACAACTGATCCAGCTTTTAATAGTTTGACCAGATGTTTCGGTATTTGACGTTTTTTACCAATCAATTATGCCAACGTTTGCATTGGGAATTTTCGAATGAAGTTTAAATAGCCAATTTATTTGAGCTTAATTATATCCGCACAAATATGTGCCGCCAGTAAGTTCTAATTTCGAATACTATCCACTACGTGTCGTCGTATAGACAACCTTAAAGGTTATTACTTATTTTGTGGCATTTTGGAAAATTCCGTATGTATATTAATGTAAAAATAAGACACAGGATATATTCCCGAAATAAAAACGACGTTTGAGAGTATTTTGGCAGTTTTTTTTACCTTAAATAAAACTTCAAACGCTGAGCTAACCAGTACTGTAAGATCTCACGCAAGTCCTTTATAAAAAGCTATTCTGCCAATATTTTACAGCTATTTTATTTAAGTTCGGCTCAATAAAGCGGTTGCGGAAGTTGGTTAGCAGCCACATTTTATCTTTCCTTTTGTATGTCACGGGTGAATCCGAGCATTGCCAACTAGTGAAGCGATTATGCGAGGTAGCTGATGCGTATAAATATGAATATGTACGATAGTGCGGTTCACATGAGTAAAGCGGGCTTACTTAGTGGTAGTCTGGACTTCATGTTCTGGACTACGAGTACAATGCTGTATATATTGTCATTTCATCGACTAGGCCCTTCAATTATGAGTTTGTTTTGTGTCTTTGCAATTTGTCCGTTCTCTTGAGTACGAATATACCCGCGCTTGGCAGCCTTAAGCTAAAATGCGGTACTTATGGGATAAAAACTGTGGGAACTTCTCCAGTTTTACTGGTGATAGGAACGATTTATTGTATGTCACTCATGCTGGTCGTGAGGCCATGAGGCTAATTTGATGGTTTTTTCAAAATAAATTCTAAAAGTCTCTCCTTGATCACACCAAAGATAATCTTTTACATTTTTAAGGTAGTACCCCAAGTCTGAAAGTCCGATAAATCGGTTTTCACATTTCTCTGCTAATTTCCGAGTTCCAGATTAAGCATCCTACGATTTTCTTGAATAAATTTTTCTCTGATGTCTTTGCGCTCTTGAAGCAACTTTATGACAGGACAATTCATTGGGTATGAGTTCATCAATGCTCATTGCATTTCCACTTATTTCTATATTGCCTACACGATCGTTATGGTTGTTCGTCCGTGAAGACGAAGGCTTATATGTAGATAGTGGGATCGTCTCTTATGAGTTTATTTATAAATGAAATCTCTAACAAGATATTGCATTGGTGTAGCGAATTACATAATCTGTTTTTCCAATTATTTGGTGTTCACATCGCAATTGAAATTGGATGTTTTCATCTATGTAACAAACTTGATTGTCTAGGTGTATATATAATTGAAGAAAACGGCTGGTTGAGCCAAGGTGCCCAACCAGTCCTCTTCTTCAGTTGATTTTTTTGTCTTTTAAAGTTCTCTAACGTCCCGTGCATGCGCTTTTTGCTTTCCCTTAACGTTTCATACGTTTAATTATCAGGTTATTTATTTGTTTTCCGAATCTATCAACGACGATGTTTTACTTGTGGTGGAGTTGCTGACAGGGGACAAGGACTTGGAGCATATTCTCGGATGGAGTTTTTGTAGACTGCGCAAGTTGATTGATGCTGAGTCACCGGAGGAAGATCTTGATTCCGGTTATGTAGACATGACTATTTTAAAGGGAAGCCCACGGAGTCTGTTCGTGATGGAGTCATTCGATGACGGTAAACTGTTGTCCATAATGCCTATCCAGGTATCCAGCAGGCGGTCTACCTTCAATAGGTTCCGATTCAGAAATTTTAGTGAAGATCAAACACTGTCAACAACTCGAGAATTGTTTCATGTACCTGCCAGAAAATACTCTATTAACCCCAGCTCATTGCTTGCCCGGCATCAATCTGAATACTGGACTCAAGTTTGGACAACGCGATTCAGAAATTGAGACCGAAGTTGACGGCTTAAAGATTACCATTCGGGGGAGCAAGCTGTCTGCACTTGAGAAGGAGCTGTCCAAATGCATACAACTACAAAACCTGACGACTACTAAGACAAAAACGGATGCAACCGTTACTGCTTGGTTCCTAAAGGTTAGTTATAAACCTGCCGTACGGCTTTTACGGATGAAAGATGCGCATACTCTGTACCTTTAAAGTGTATTTGGGGTCGTGCAAAATGTCCCCTAATTTTCTCCGTGGCAGTCATAGCTCTGGTCCTTTTGGTATATTTAAAAGATATTTGTTCACAATGGGTGGAGGACTGTTGAACCAGTACAGAGAGTTCTGCTAGAAGCTGAGACGGAGACCGCGACTGGAAGAACCTCAGGGATTTCAAGGGCTGCATCAACTACCCAGCTAGCGGTGAAACGCGATAACGTGTTAGCAGGTGTCACCGTTCTCTCCGCTTCAAAAGGCGTTCTACTAGAGCTTCCAAATAGTGAGAATGTGGCCGTAGTTTTCATTCTTCAGTGCGTTACAGCCGAAGTGAATGAAAATGTGCCTACAACGGTAAGTCAGTGTTCGGTTTGCCATCTTCTTTGAAATTAACTCTTCATATTGACCCAACTGTGAAAAACTCGGCGCCTCGGTGGGATTCGAACCCACGCAGTAAGGAGAAGGGCTTTAGTACAGCCAACGCTCAAACCACTTGAGCTACGAGGCCCCGCCGGACGACTCGAGTTTAATCACATTTGGGTCAAGTTTATCCGCCCAACCAACTGCAACGTCTGGAATCCACCGAATCTGATACAGGAAGTTGACTGCCCAAGCAGGATTTCCTAAGTAATTCACCTAGAATCCACCAGATGACTACTAGGCTCGCGTAATTCATAGGTAGTATTCAAAATCAAACCTGAATAATGAGTAAAGAACATGATCCTGGTCTTCTGAAGCTGGCCAATTTATCGAAAACAGCGTATGTTGACGGTTTAAGGGCTCCTTGGAAAAGGCGTCCACTGTAAGTTGATGTATTTTTGCCTTCCTGTGCTTGCCCTTGGTATTGAATCGCTCAATTTTTGAGAACACTCGATAACTCTTAAAATATTTTTCTTCACATAAGGCTACTCGAAATCCCCAAAGGGCGTGGGAGAGAGAGCCAGTATAGCCAGATTTTTCTGACCGCAAATGTCTGCGATTTCCTTAATCATCTCACTTTTAACGTCAACTTTACAAATGCACAAACTGATCGCTTCTACTGTGTACGTAGTAACTGGTATGCTCTCCACCCTTAACGCAGTTGTTTGTGTGAATCACATGTTAGTTTGTTCGCCTCTAGAAATTCACTAGTGCAGTGTAGGGCACTAAAACGTACCAGACCGCTTGCTTACAGACTTCAGAGTTCCATGTTTGGTATTCGTTATTATTGATGACTTAGAACTGCGCTTCCACGTAATCCCGGTATGTTTACCCAAGAAACATCTGAACATAAGATTTTACGTTTTCACATCGCCGCAATGTTTAATAGAAAGCGAATGTTATAGCATTTTTAACATTCAGCCGCAGGAAATTTAACACAATGAAGGCGAAAGTTCGAGTTCCAGGCGTTTATAAAAGTAAAGGTGGATGGTCGAGTACCGAAACAGTCTGTTTATTGTTCTCACCTTTCGAATTCGTGCAAGAGTCCATCGTCGGAGATAGTAGCGGCAACGGAGCAAGCGACAGCTACAGGGTGTGTAACCCAAGCATCGGCCGATGGCTCAAGACTGGAGGTGACTGCGCAGGGTTCTGTACGCCGGCGGCGGGTCGATAAATCGTTTGGCTGAGTTCTCATCCGAGGCCCAGGCTTCAATTAATTCTCGGTCTGTCTTGTTTCGGATGTGGGCGACTATTTTTGTGGCTGCGAAGTCAAACTCATGACCCATTTCGTAGGCGTGGGCTGCCACTAATGATGATGCGTCGCCTGGTCGTGCAGCCAGCGTGTATGCGCGATCCAAGCATTCATAAGTCGCTGCCTACGTGGTCGCCCCCAGGGGACCAAAGAATCAAAGTCACCAACGATATGGCATTCCCCGTCATACATTAGGAACGTTTCAGAAGCAACCAAGCGCATTGCTGCGGAGCCAAGTGTTGGAACTGCATACCGTCCCAAAGCCACCATGCGCAGCAGGGTGATGAAAATGAAAGATCGGTTGAAGCATGAAGAGCAATCTAGAGTGGTCTTTCGCATGCCGTGCCAAAACTGTCCTTGTGACAACACAGTCACGAGTTTAACTTCGCAGCCACCAAAGTAGTCGTCCACGCTCGAAACAAGACAGTCCGAGAATTAATTGAAACCTGGGCCTCGGGTGAGAACTCAGCCAAACGATTTATCGACCCGCCGCCGGCGTACAGAACCCTGCGCAGTCACTTCCAATTTTGCGCCATCGATCGGTGATTGGCTAACACGCCCTATAACTATCGCTTGCTCCGTTGCTGCTACTATTTCTGACGATGGACTCCTGCACGAGTTCGGAAGGTGAGATCAATAAACAGAGTGTTTCGTGCTCGGCCACCCTTCTCCCTCACTTCTACAGGAAATTTAGACTTATAGTTTGACTTGGAACTCGGATCATAGACCATCATTCACTCGACTGGGAGGAAGATTCTTGGCAATCCTAACCTCTGCCAAGGTAGACGACCTCCGGTAAGATCGCAGTTCGTAGCCTGGGATTATGCGTCAACATTGCTGACGTACTTGTTTGTTATCAGTAGGCATGTTCAAATTCTCATATTCTTCAAGCCTGAGGTTGGACGTGGCCGACTGACGATAGCCAATGAGCCAAGAATGCCTATTCTAGTCCCTCCTCTCTCTGTGGGCAACCTCTTCTTACATATAATACAGGTCACCAGGCTACTGCCTGTAAGAGTAAGCAGTCTTGCGCAGCATCTGCCGCACTCACCCCTTACTCTCGCCAAGGCAAAGTTGGCACCACCGGAGGCGGGAGATGGGACAGTGGCTGACAGAGCCACACAATCCATCTATGCGTGGAACACACTCTTGGTCTGCGCATAATAAATCAGGTTCTCACATAAACCTGGGGACGAACCACATTCCACTGGAGCGGAGCGTCATGGAGGTCACACATTCAGCAGTTGAAGTTTGACCCTCTGTCCTGAAGGGACCGAGTCATCCCCTTAGCTGGCATCCTTCTAAATGACAGTTTTTGGCACACCGTGATGGTTTAAAAGCGCGTCGGATTGTTCATAGTGAGGGATGTGCATTTAGTGCCGTGGGGAAGCAGACTCCAGAGTCGATCTGCCTCTTCCTTCCCTCACCCAGACACTAGTTCGCTGTCCGGGACGGTCAGTCATCTATTGCAGAGATTGGCTAGCGCGACATGAACCTGCGCCTAGGCCTGTCGCACACACTCCGCGTCCATGCGTCCATGTGCTGCCCGGCTCAATTAACGCGTACCATGTTCTCATGGGTCCGCCGTATTGGTCCAGCGCAACTCCCGTATGACCCTTTATAGGGGGCACGTATGTACATAAGCAAGCGAAAATGTACACATTATTGGGTGCAAAATCAAATCTTGTGACAGTGTTCTTCCGGAATATAATTTACGCTTAAAAAGGTTGCCTTTTGAGTTCCAGGAGAATGCATAATGAGATTGCATAAAGTAGTTCCGTGAGGAAATGCAGGGATGCGCAATAACCATCCATTGTACTTTACGCCGACCTTGTTGCTACTTATTTCCATTAGGTAGTTTGGGCTGCTGCCTAAAGAATGCGATTTACCTTTTAAACTGCAAATGCTTTTCTACATTAGCCTTTTAAATGTTCTTCGCGAGGACTTTCAGGCGGTTATGGTATGGAATTGGAATTCAGAGCGCATCCGCAGAAGAGAGAAGATCGGCAGTTGTAAGGCTGATTGTGACCCCTTACTGCGGTCACGCTTATAGATTCCAGGCAAAGCATATTCGTCTACCGGGGTACATATGGACCGTTTGCCGACCAATTCCACGTTATTCAGTTACGGCGTTTTACCTTAAAACCTCACTCCTCAAAGAGCGTTATTATGGGGACGGGTGTTCTAATTCCTTAGAATTCCAATTCCACAACTTGGGCCATGGTTATAACCTTGCTTCTCATGTTACGGACTTTCTGCTGCGGTTCGTAATTTTTCAGACTGTCAACAGACTGAGGAGAGAGGGTTTGAATTTCGGGAAGTTTAACTGTATCCCTTGATAGAACTGACAGTGAAAGGTACTCGGAGCGTTGAGAAGTTACTAAAAACGCCGTTCGTCGCGTTAAAATTCCTCTCGGTTGTCTTTTTCGATTTTCGTCAATTACAACAGAGCGCTTTTTTAAAATCTTCACGGCATACTGCGTGCAGTCTATTCACTCGTTAAATTCTTAGCCCGGAGATCATGCCTTGGCACTCTTAAACGGATTTTCGTCTTCTAATAATCTCTTTCTGAATAAATTCCACAATAAGCTGTCAACATGTGATGCAGTATGGACAAACAACAAACTTAGAGTGAACATCCGTCTCTATTGTCCACACTGCCCCAGCACATTCACTCGCCGCATGGGCCTTCTAGGGCAAATGCGCATCCAGGAGAGCGGAAGTCACCTAGCACACGTTGTGCAACCACCACGCCTTGCCCAACCCACACACCACCGCCCACCGCGCCCACCACCGGCAGTTCTACCTTCGTCACCATCATTGGAACCAACCCAGACGCCCCCGATCTATCCTACCCATACTTTTCCAGCACCTCCACCTCACACATCGGCCTGGTCGGTCACTTGCGAATCCATCGCACAAAAACTGGCGAACCAGTACCTGGAACACCAACACACACCCAGCACATCCGCCTCGACTGTCCCCACTGCACTCGCACATTCACTCACCGCATGTGCCTACTAGACCACATGCGCATTCACGAAAACCTGCGGGAAACAACCGCCGGCTACACCAAATCATCACACTTTCCTCCACCAACACCTGCATCACGCAACCTCATCACTCACCGCATGCAACCAATCGCCACCTCCCACGCACACTGTTGCGGCAAAAACTCGCGGAGGCACACGGGACGTCGCTCTCGCGGACACCGCTTTCGCGGAGCCGGATGAACCTTCGTCCGGTTGCCAACTTTCCCCAGTTATTCTGTACAGAATAAATCCTCCTCGGGAGAAGCGCAGCGTTGCAATAGCCACTTGAAGTAGAGGCACTAAAACCAGTCAGTTCTCTAGTGAGTCACCAGTTACAACGCCCGTCAGAAATGTTCGGCAGTACTGTTGGGTATTTAAGCCAAGACCGCGAATTTCAATCGAAATTCGAAATCTCCTTGTCTTCACCCCCACCTCTATCAATTTACACGAGTCATTTTTTGGCTAATGCCTGTCCTATCTGGGATGGAAGCGTTTGCCGACAAGGGAGACCGGGAGGGCCACTTGTGACGCCTTTTAAGCCGACAATCAGTCATACCTGAAATCCACTCAGGAAAGCTCTACGATTACGTCACATCGCATGTGAGCGGCGTTCACTGGTCTGGCCTGATTCGAGGACAGAATAGGAATTTTCCACTTTGGAGACTGCAACACCGAAACAGACGAAAATGCCCCACAGTGCGCCAATTCCACATGACACTTGTCAGGTTTTGCTTTTTTCTGGGAATCTGCTGACTGACATCATAGTGCTCCCTGTTTTCATAGATAGTGTCCCTCATGAAATATTAATCGAAGTCTTGGAAAGTGTTTTTGATTAGGAAGAATCGCCTAGATGGGTTCGTAATACTGATTATCGTACAGTATAATCTCAAGATATTTCCGTTACAGCAGGATGCCAGCTTTTGAATGCTTTTCTTTCCGGTCGCCTGCAAAAACCCGGGCTTGATAAAAATGATTGCTTAAATAATGGGACCTTTTCTTCGATTGTCTGCTCCATTTAAAACTAAGGCATGTTTTATTTAAAGCACGAGCAAAATATACTTTTTTGCACACAAACAGTAGCAAATTACGTCTTCTTTAAATTTCAGGACGAAGCGTTGATTCTGGTTTTAAAAAGTTGCTCAATTCCTGAATGATTTTGAACTCGACCTGTCTCGGCATTTTCGCTTAACACTTCCAACCAAAATGTGTATATTTTGCATTTAGAAAAAATCCTGCGTTCTCGCGTACTACTAAGAAAATACCGTTTAAAGCTCATAAAATCTAACACGGCTGTGGACCACGTCGTATAAATACTAAGGAACATAATAGACGGACAGATACGTAGTCACTTGAATAAAGAGTTCATAGTCCTAAAAATCACAATTGCAAACTCCTTTTTAGTCGAAAGTTTGAAGAAGACGTTTTTAATACAAAGGGAGTTCAAGGAAGATATTCTCATGTGTGCTTTCTAAAAAATATGCTCCGACTTCCAAGAGCATCGAAAATCAATAGCAACACTTCATCTTGCATAAGCAGTCGTTTTAGCTATTGCCATTGGCCGAAAAGACGCACATTTAAAAACCCGTATCCTGGCGTGACTGAAATAGCTTGGGATAATGCTACATGTTAGTCAATATAACAACCCCACCCAGGTAATCCTTTGCACACCGAGGTCGTATTTTAAAATTTTTGCTATCACTTTATGAGATACACAGCCTACGGACTGCAAGGCAGTCTGGTTTGCTTTCTCCAACCAACTAATTCAGCTGCACTCCGCATGTCGAGGTAAACTTCATTCCTTTTCCGATTGCAACTGACTGCCATCTCAGGTGGACTCGGGGACGTCAGTTCCGACTTCCACATGGAACATACGGTTCGGTCACATTCTGCCGATGCAGTCTCGTGAATTCGCCGCGGGCCGAGAAACCACCTTTGAAGTGGATCTTCGGGGTGCTGGAGAGTCAGTAGCATCCGATGCCAACCCCTCCAACTCCACCTATCGAACGAATCCCGCAGCAGGAGACACTGAGCCCACTGCTGCCGTGAACACGGGGCCTGACCTCAAGACTCCTGCCGGAGATAGCGAAGAGTTCACTGAGAATGTCACTATCTGTCCTGACGCCGCTCGTTGCCTGAGCCATCTGGCGCCATTCGGAGCAGAGTTTCGACTTTCCTGTACAGTCAGACCCTCAACAGCGGAAGCACAGGTAACGCCTCTTAGTGTTGTTTGTTGCCGCATCTTACACGTGCTGGGCGGCCCATAGTTCTCCTCCACTGAGTAAAGTATTCGTAGTTCAGTATCAAATTCAGGGATTTTCACGCTTTTCTCAGTTGTGAACATTTCCATAGGATATTTTTATCCAACGAGTTTCCTAAAGCTGAAACAAAAAATTTAAAAAATGACGACAGAGGGCAGCTTGCGAGCACCCCCCCCCCCGGTGTCCTTGTGCGCACGGAGCCCCAAAGTGAGCGGCATCATGACGTTAGATCTAAATCCAACCTGTTATCGGACGAAGGTCTGAGTGAAGTCTAGTAAGTGTGGGTTGAGGACCAACAAATATGTGACGCACTAGAACCGAGGAGAGGGTGACCAATCGGCCACAGTGCAAAGTACCCCTCTGGTTGGCTTGCCTCGATCTTGCTTCTAACACACGATGGGAGAAGTGAGAGGGATAGGTTATGTAATCCGGATAGTCTTGCTACGCGAGACTTGCTACTATAGTTATTTAAGTAGACATTGTAGGAAGCCATCAATGCTTTATCGTAATAGTCCTTGTCTGGCGAAGGAACTTCCTAGCACACATTTTCCCTTCTGTAGTAAGTCTGAAGGAGGGAGAGTCTGTTGGGCAAAAGCCATATTCCCAGCAGAATTAGTTTAAAATGACAAAAGAAGCCGCAGTGGACTTTGTCACCAAACTGAGATGAGATGAGATACTGCGTTAGCAGAGAGAGGACGGGAGGAGGCGGGGGGCTACTAATAAAAACGCGGCCGAAAATGATATCAATAGCAATCCCATTATGTAGCGGCTGAAGTGAAGCCGCCTTTCTATTCGTCACAGAAGGTAGAAGGAATTTGAACTTAAGTCAAAGTTTGCAAATAGACTTTTTTTAAACTGGCTGTTTGTCCAAACTACGCTCTTGCACCCCCATCTCCCCCTCATATCTCAATCCTGAGCATTTTCGAACAAGCTGTCTTCACAAACAACTTGCCCTTCCTCCTGCTCAGGAAGTTGTGGACCAATAGGATCCACAGATATTCATTCTTATGTCCCCATTATTATTTGCAGTAGTCTTAACCGTCCACTGAGGAAGGAAATAAATGAACCGACCACCGTATAGATTTCATCAAATGCGACCAAAACACCAACCTGTGGTGGCGATTTCCAATCTTAAACTGTCTGGCAGTGTATTAAGCCCTTCGTGCTGAATTCCTCCACTAACTATGCCATTCATGCCCACATTTCCTCAGGTCGCTGTCATTTGCGAATGCAGTTGAATCTACCAATAAGATACAGCATCCACCATTTTAAGGACAACAAATCACGAAGCCCTTCTATTATTCCCAGTGAAAAGGGAGATTTTGTTTGGTCCCAAAATCTCCCAATTGCCCGCGCTGGGCATATATTTTTTCCCCTTTTCTAGAACGGAAGTGGTCTTTTCTCCATGAACTTCAAATGGGAACTGTTCAGAAGCATCTTTCACTGTTTCGTTACTGATCAAGAAAAATTGGCGGATTGGTGTCGTTTTAAGGAGATAAGAGACAAACGTGCACCATTTGCTGGATTCACACCCAAGAGTGGTTTGGACTACAAATAGCCGCGCATTCCACAACTACTTATGTGCTCCAGATTTTTTTGTCCAGTGGCTCACCATTTGGTCATGAGTCCTTTTCGGCTGCCACTCCAAGTTTCCTTTCATCTTCTACTTTTAGCCCGCTGAGCAGGAGGCAGTTCAAACTGCACAGACAAGCAAATTAGCCGCGTAAGTAAATTTTCGTCCGTAACCGCTCTGCAAATACTGTAACTTAACCTCATATTGTCTACTTCCCTCAAAATATCGGGTAGTCTTCTTTGTGAGAACTTGTGGTTAACTGCTGTAGGCGTTTATTCGTCGTAAGCTTGACTGCGTTGCGCGTTTTGGTGGGAAAGGGGTATCATGACAGAATACGAATAGCTCCCAGACGATACCCGACTTTGGGGACTCTCCACATCTGGGCATCATTTTGTCGGCCACGCCGGGCAGGGTGGATGTATATAGAGTGACGTCATTTAAAGATGGACGACAGTTTTATCAGATTCGACTTTACCCCTTCGCCAGAAACTGAGGGAACGTAATAACCGCGGTTCCAAGCCGTCTTGAAGGGAATTTCCCTTCTACCCAACGGTTAGGCTTGAAAGCGAGTGACTATGTGATAAGTAGCCCGATGAACGGTTTAGATAGGTCGCCAATGGCCTATCTGGTGCTTTGCTACGGCATCTATCTGCCAGTTTAGCACGCCCGAGGAACGAGCGATTGGTCGTTTGTGCACTGGTCTGGACAATAGAATCTTTTGCACTTTCTGACCTCTGTTGATCTTAAGCTCGGGCCATCCTATCTCATCCAAATCGGACTATTTTTTCCCAAGTTTGCTCTGCCTGTGATAATGAGCTAAGCGGTTGGTGAGTAGTAAGACAAATAATCGGTAGGACTGACTTATGTGGTCCCTCAAAGAGGACATGGGAAAAGGAACCGTCTGCAATACGGGTGGCTTTGAGCCAACTTCTAGTGAAATAAGGGTTAGGTTTAAGGTTAGGATTATGGACAGAGAGAGCAAGAGAGGCAAATCAGGATCGAGTTCAGGGTTAGGTGGGCAGGTGGGCTAGTTTTAACTGCAGAGTTAAGGTTTAAAACAGGGTTAGGGTCATGGTTGGATGGAGGACACTCCTCCAAATAATGCCTAAAAACTGGATAGTTTAATAGCAAATCGCCTCTTCTTCTTCTTCTTCAAATTTAAGACTCGAAAAATCGATCTTCCAAATTCAAAAAGTTTCCAGTTATGAGAATTTTCAAGACCGTGCAATTTTCATTCAAATGACATCGTGTTTGTCTATTGTTGGTTCTCCTGAAATATAATGTATAGTCCAAATTAATTGCATAGTTTAAAGAGTCCTGCATGAGTTTTTGTAACGGCATATAGGCTAAAAGGCCTTATCGCAAATGCGACGGTAGATCGGGCTCAGAACCGTTTGGGAATTAAAAATGCTCTTAATACCAAAGTTTACCCTTCCGTTTAGTGTAACATTTACAGAAGCAATTTCCTACGAAATGAGTACAGGAAAGTACATATATTTTTGGCATAGGTCGTTTATAAACTGCATTTGAATTTGTATGGGCAACGAAAATTGATCAAAAAATTTTCACTGCTTAAGTAATCATTTTTGCCGAGTGCAGTTTCTGCAGGCGGCCAAAAAGAAGTGCGTTCGAAAGGCCGGTACACTGAAGTGACTGAAATAACTTATGATTGTGCTTCATGAAAACTAATTTTGCAATCCCATCTGACTAGTCCTTCGTAATCGAAAACGCATGTCAGAACGTCGGCCAACATTTAATGAGATCAGTCCTTCGAAGCCTATATTTCATATCACGATCCAAAAACTCGATATAGGATCGCAACGGACTCAGCAATGATCATCTATACCCCCTTTCTGTTACAACCTGGCTAAATTCAAGTTATATGTGCTTCTGCTCACTGCCATATGTATGACGCTTCGAAAAATAGTCATAGTGGCTTTATCGACAGCCTTTCGGCGAGATCTCGTTTCGCACTATAGTTGCGGTTATCAGCGTCCACACTGGGACTTGAACTGTCTCTTTCCACCCAAACTTGACGACCGTATTAACAGACTTCAGGCCCTGAGTCGTTAAGTTGCATCTCTAAACCTTTGACTGCCGCACTCCAATTAAGTTAAAGTCCAGTCTAAAGCTCAATCCACCGTGCAATCCTTTTCTTTATCTGCCTATCTGAATTTCTTCTGGTCAGATAGTATGGACTCTATCTTCGCTACGTAGTCTGATCTGTTCATTATGACGACGCCTGTTCCCTTTACAGGTCTAATTACCAAGATCTCTTTTTCCCTCGAAATTCTTTTAATTTTTCCACGTGTGCTTTTGTCAGCACTCCTCGACTTTTTGGCCCTTTGTTTAGGTATTGGTAACTGCAATTCACTAATGTGGAATGAAGTGTTGGATACTGTCTGTGGAAGCGGGCAATAGATCGAATGTTTGGTTCCAGAGGTTCTCGAACTGCGTTTCCAATTCTAACTGGTTTACTTTTCGACGAGGTATGCAAAACTTCGGACCAAGGGATAATGCTTCAAGTGATGTTTTATCAAGTGTCATGTAAGAGTAGTTGTGTACGCACCGAGCTGGATCTTTCGGAAACCGTGACTGGGCTTTCATCTCATGTAAACTCCTAAGAAGCACAGAGCGTTTTGCCTCTCCACGTTTCTTTTCAATGGACTGAGTGTACATGTCGAAATCTTGTCTTTCCTCATCTGCCAGGATATCTAGGACGGCTGTGTGTTGACACACATGACGCTCAAGTTCCTCTAATTTTACGAGGGTACTCTCTAGTTGATTCTCAGCATATCTCTTCAGGGTTTCTGTGGTAATAACTGTACGACTACGACGCGGCGCTCTCTAATAATGGTCTGGATGCTCATTTCTCTCAATACTGTCTAGGCGTCAAAAATAGTAAATTTTCACTTAAAACCGTAAGCACTTTTCAGGTAAGATTATCTGGAATCATACCTTGCGTGAGAAAACGGCCTTTTACTCTTCGAATTTAGACAGTATGTGAAATGCAAAAAGTCTAAGGTATACTAGACTTATCATCGTGACTTTGCTAACCATGTTCCATTAAATCAGTCGTCTGTTGTATGAGCGCATTAAAATTGAGAATAAAACAGAAATATACCTATGGATTTTGGATAATTTCTGCATACGTGACAGACAAGATTCTTGGTCAAATATCGTCCCATCAGGACCTGAAAATTTACAGACTACAATGTGCTCTGTAAGTTGATGCTGGGATTCCGCTTTTTAAAACGGCGAACCTTACCTTTGGTATATAAATCCTCATTCCTATTTATGGCATGGGTATGGTTTATGGCCGGAGCTACTTACTCCGCGGAGCACTTGCGTTGAGCAAAAAAGCTGAACATCTAGGAACACTGTGATTTCGCAAATTTTGGTCCTCCATATTATCACCAATTAAAGGGCACGCTATTTTTATAACTTAGTGATAATAGTAACGGCATTTACTGTCTCTTTGAAGGACAGGAAACGTCAAAAAGATATTACATTGTCTTATTTTTACTCCAATGTCTATCTTAAAACACCTTGCCTGCCCTCAGGCCGTGAGGTCTTTTTATTTCTTTTTCTGCCATGTATAAATAAACATCGCCAGTTATTTTCTGTTAGTCCAACTGCTCCCCGGATTAAGTTACCCCGCCCATAAAACATACCCTTGCATTATTTACTGAGAGCACTCAATTTTTAAGAATATCTAAATTCCTTTTTATTATCCTTAAATAAAAGAACGGCTTAGAGTAAATGCTTTTCTTACAAAAAATGGGGAAGAAAGCGGGTCTTTCGAATGCCGGCAAAAAAAGGTTTCAGCATGCTTCGTAGGTCACATTGGCCAGAATAAGCTGAAGATCTAAAACGTGGGGATTGTGATTCGATAGATTTCTGTCCCACGTTTGCTTCATTACACTATAGTTGCTGTGATCAACGTCCACACTGGGACTTGAACTGTCTCTTCCCACCCAACCTTGACGACCGTATTAACAGACTCCAGGCCCTGAGTCGTTAATTAGCATCTCTAAACCTTTGACTGCCGCACTCCAACTAACTTAAAGTCCAGTCTAAAGCTCAATCCACCGGGGGCCAAATTACACCCTCCTGGGAGTTTTTTTCGGCCAGCGTGAACATTTCAGCAAGAGATTTAGAATAAAATGTAGACTGTTAGTACACATTTTATCGACAGCGTTGAGGTCTGAACACTGCGAAAAACTTATAACTTTGAATCAGGCTTAGTTCTGCATTGCAAACCCTGTGATAGTACATAAGATTCCATACTTTGAGGTGCTACTCATACCTATAACGGAGACCCAGTTGGTTTTGAGGCGTGGGAATGAAAAGAAGTAATATCTTTGGCTGATGCGCCTCCACATTTACGGTCATAAATGCACATCTCTCAGCAGTCAGCAACAAACGTCGAATTTCGACGCCTTATGTGTCATTTGTCTCTTGTCTACGCGTTGTCCATATCGAGGATTTTCGGCACCAGCACTAATGACTTGACCATTTATGATTATATCGTTGCCTAATGTTTTCATCGCAGCAACTTGTGCACTCTAAATTATAAAATTAGGCTGGTATTGTTTGCATCGATAAAGAAAATGTTCTGCCACAAACTCTCGATGCCTTGAAATCTGATAGCCCTCTGAACCAACATCGGTCAATCACACTTTAAGATCAGAACGACACTACCTTACATATAGTGCAGCCAAAGACCTTGTTTACCGCCCTGAGGCGTGAGTTTAAACCTGTCGTTCTGCATGGCAAATTCCACGCTCTTTTACTGAAGGCTCGTGACCCTGATAAAGAGACCACGTCCCCTCTTGATGAACGTCTCCCGAAAACCAGTACGCAGGCCGACACTCTTCGTCTACGTGGAAACGGGGATGAATAAAGTCGTTCAAAGCAGAGACTTTCAACAAAAGGCAAAAATGCGAATTCCAGGAAGACGGTGAGGAAGACAAGAAATTTGCCCGACCTGACGTTCCGACTTCGTGCTCGGAGGCTGGGGTCGAGCATGAAGCCGGAACGTCAGGGGTCAGAAAGTCCCTGTTCCAGCAATCGCGTCTGCTTCTTGTCAACCTTCTCCAAAGCCTCTAACGTCTGACTCGCCTGCGCTGAACTGTATTAAATACGCAATTAGGTCTATTCCACAATTTACCTTTACAGTGGGACCAAGGGTAGCCTCCGCACACAAGGTTTCCGAGCCATAGACAGTGTGCACTGTAGTAGGGCAAGATCTCATTTCGTAGCCATACCTGTCAGGGGTCAGGGTTAGGGGTTAAGTTTGGGAGTTAGGGTTAGGGGTTGGGGTTTGCGTCTTCAAAGAAGCAGCTATTTCCTCAACGTGTCGCAACTTAGATCAATTGTCATCATTTAGGTTGTGCGCCACCTTTCAACAGTTCCATATAGCCATTTCAGAGTAATTGTTTTGAATGGAACTGTCTTTCGGTAATGTATGCCCCCCCCTCCCATTCGCGTTTTCACACCCCTCCTTCTTTATTTGCTCAAATCGGAGGTTTTTTGCGCAATCGTTAGTTGAATAAAGTAATTTAATGGCCCATTTTAATTGGCTAGTTTCGCTAATTCAAATTACCTCTGTTGCACGTCCAACTTTTCAGATTACCAAGCTCTCTAACGGCACCTACTGCAGCTAGTACGCTCCCAAGGGAAAATTTAGCCTTCCGGAGCGAATCGAGCACCCTGGAGTTACCGCCGCACGTCGATCAAACCAACGCCCTGGCTCGTACCTATGACCAGTTCAACCAGTATGCGCCGCCGCAGTTTATGCGTAGCCAGCCACAACTTAACTACCCACAGTTTCCCTTCTGTCCACCCCAGCTATTCTACGGACCGTGGGTGAACGCGGAGAACTACGCCAACCCCCTGCCAGTGGTCTATGAGCCACTGAATCCCAGACACTTCTCCATTCCGCCCTATATTCCTGGCGTTCTGGGGCAGACCTTTGCGCCAGTGTCTACTGCAAACGCCACCGGTCTCTCTCGCCTGGCCTACGCACGCATCTACTCATCCGGTGAGTCTTCTGGCACTGACGAGAACAGTCCTGATCGTGGGGCTAACGTTTAATGTGAGGCAGCTGAAGTTCTGACCTGTACTCAGAACCTACTACTGATAACGGCGGAGGAGACTGGAGCGGCCATTTACGGCGTATGTTTTCCGTCGACAGTCAGCTATGCTCCGTCCCCGGGCCGGGAAGACCTGCTGTGTGATCCGGGGTTCCGTTGTCTTTTGAGGTTAACACTCTAGTAGTTGAGCTACGGATCCAGGCTGTCGACTGTGAGGGTTCTGTAGGGCGGCTCGAGGGTAAAAATGCAGTCCACCCTGCAATGTTACATGAGAGTGTCATTTCCATACTGTTCTGCGGCACGCGCTACTACTGTTCCACGATTCGGGCTAAGGATTCGCCTGAAGAACAGGTGTTTTGCGCTTACCCTCAACCCTCCTCAGTCAGCCTCGACACATCTTGCAGAAGCAACCGATTGTCCTTTTCAGTCCAACACCTTCCTAGACCAGAGGCTGGCTGAGGTTGCAGTGGGCGGACAACACGACATTTCTCAAATCAGAGGTCAATGCGGCGTGTTAATAGGCCGGCCTTTACTGCAGCAAGGGAGCTTGCAAGCGACTTGAAGGCCAGCGACAACAAAAAGTTCCGCCGGACACCAGCGCGGAGCGCGTGCGCGCCTGAGCTTTGTCCGGCCGTGGCCAATGGTTGAAGAGGAAAATGCCGATAGACGTCACAATGTTACGGCTGAGTAACACGCGACGCAAGCCGTAAACAGGCAAGGAGAGTTCGGCGGCCGCCCACACCGAATGTAATACCACAGAGCACAGACGTTGGCGACAACTCTTCACCACACCAAAAATGCCCAAAAATATGCATAACCCGTGCTTTACGAATGTCTTTTTTGAAGGACAGCATGACGAACCCACACATATTTCCGGTACTTCTATCGCGGCGTTTTAAGCTACAATGAGTGACCGATTTCATGAAATGTTGGCCGAAATTCTGAAATACGTTTTCGATTAGGAGGAATTACTTAGGTGGATTTGTGATACTGATTAGCTCGCGGCATAATCCTATAACATTTCAGACTCCGCTGGATGTCGACTTTTGAATGCACTTCTTTTCGACCGCCTGTAGGAACCATACCCGACAAAGAGTGACTACTTAAGTAGCATGCATTTTCGCATTGATTTTCGATGGGTTTATGAATTCAAATATATTTCATGCAAAACACAGACAAGAAATGCTTCCCTTTACTCATTTGATTGAGAATCACGTCATCTTTATATTGTATACTTGAAGAAGGATTATAATTAAGTTTTTAAAAAGTTTTTTAATTCTCGAATAAGGGGGCCTGATCAACTGTTGCGTTCCGCGTAAGAAAAATCATATATTTTTCTATGCCTTTAAAAAGGTAGCATATAGAGTCAATGACATTTTGCAATGGATGCGGACTATGCTGTTCATTTCATGAGGAGCAGTAGTAAACGGATAGGTACGATGTTGTATGAATGGACATTGCCGGTCTTAAACAATCTCATAATGAGGAACTTTTTTAGAACTTAATTATATTCCTTCTACAAGTATGCAATATAAGGACGACGTGATTCTCTATCAAATGAGTAAAATAAAGCATTTCTTGTCTGTGTTTTCTATGAAGTATATTCGAATTTATACGACCATCGCAAATCAATGTAAAAAAGCATGCTATTTAAGTAGTCATCCTTTACCGTGTACGGTTTCTACAGGAGGTCGAAAATAAGTGCATTCAAAAGTCGACATCCAGCGAAGTCTGAAATGTTGTAGTATTATGCCGCGAAACAATCAGCATTAAAAATCCACCTAAGTAATCCCTCCTAATTGAAAGCGCATTTCAGAATGTCGGCCAACATTTCATGAGATCCGTCACGCACTGTATAATGAGGCCCTAGCCACTACGACCATGAGGCGCAGTTCTGAACAGGGATAGAAGAAGTGGAACGCCAGTTGAGAGGATGTGGTATTCAGTACAGAACTATTAAAGCAGAGGTTGGTTGGAGCTGGCAGTCGGAGGAGGTCACGTCCGACGCCGCGAGAGCAGTGGAGTCCGCCCGTGTGTGAGAAAGAGTGGGTAGTCGTCCAGCTCCTTCAGCGAGGTCATGTCTGAGTCAGCCTCGAAGATGATTGGCCAATTTGGATTGGCCGGGATTGGCCAAAAACCCGACTGCAATTTGTGCGCACGTACAAGTAGTCGCAAGGAGCTCTGTGCTGCAACATGCGCCCGTAGTTGGACCACCACACTTCCTCCTCAGTTCGTAGTTTGGCTTTCAGAGGGAAAAGCCGGCGAAGTATTCAGTTCGTCCCATGCGGGCTATACATAAAAAGTGGAGAGGGAGGCCTAGTACAAAACTGTGCTAGGACTAGATATGCGAGCCTACGGAGAAAATAGAGCCCAGGGACTCCTTCAATTCGGGAAAATGTCAATGCCAGTTTTATCAGTAGGGCAGATGGACGCAACAGTCGATGGGATCTGCGGAGGGCATCTAGAAAGGTCACATTTTGGTCATATGTTTGTCTTTTTGCTCCAACGAGGTGCGAAACAGACAGCGCATTTTTACGTGCGGAAGACAGGGTATCCGGGGTTACTGACTAATGAAGGCCGGATTGGGTTAGACGGCATGTGTCAGGTAAACTTAGCCATAACCCTGACCCCAACCCTAACTCTTGCCCTAACGCCACTCGTTGGTTTACTCCAATCTTAAATCTAACCTTAACTTAGACCATCCATTCGGTCATTTCCTTAGGCTTAGACGGAAAAGAGACCACAATACAATATGCCTACCTAATTCAAATAAGGAGGCATGTGATAGTATTAAAAATTGAGAGCGTACACATTCGACTGTCGCCGAAAACCGTATCTTACCTTTATCTGCACATAGGCATCCAGCTTATACCATAGACGGCAAGACCAGCACAAAAAGCTGTATCCCACTGAGAAGATCGGCTTACGTAACCTAACTGCTGTCGATTTAGCTGATGCGAGAAGATACTGTCATAGGGACTTCTGGCAGCCCAATATGCTCTGTAGCCTGCGTGGGGCGCGGCAGTCAAAGATTTGAGCTGCTTATCGGACTCCGTTCGTCTTTCCCGGACTGCGCCGGAAGTTGTTATCTTGAACATCCGCTGACTTTCTCGGCCGATTTTATCCGAATCACGACCCCTGCAACTTGAGTAGCTGCGCACAGAAGTGGTCCGGTCTCGCGGCTCTTTTTCCCACAAAATCAGTTTGTCGAGAAAAGTGCCTATGTATTAACAGGTGGAAAGCTTTCTGGAACATTGTTATACAAAACGACTGAGCGTGCCATTTTAGTGGATAACAGTGCTGGTGAGACGATTGTCCATTCTGATAAAAGAAACTGTTTTTGACATGTCCAACAGTTAAGCTCAAGTAATGCATTGATTGGAAACCAGACTCATCAAGGGCTTTTTGCAAACCCAAAACATGTGGCTCGCGTGGTAAGTTCCCCAAATACACCTAGGTTGATGGTCACGCATGTATTTAACCGCAGTTATCTAAACATGGAGGACTGAAACTCAAGGACTACGGAGTCTGTCTGTTATTCTGGTTGCTTGCAATACGAAATGTATGGGGAAATGACCTTAAGCGAAATTGCAAGCCTTTCGATTTCAACCAATGAACGGTTACTGACCAGGCGGCTGTAGAAACAGCTGCCTACGAAGACGTCATAAGTTACGGCGGTATTACGGTACGACGGATGTCACCCCCTACCTCCCCCCTCCACATCACCGCCTGGTATAATCCAGGCATCATAAAGTAGTTTTCCAGGGAGGGGGCTGGGATGCGGATGAAGACACCTCCTGTCCCCAAACCAGGAAGAACAGAGAACCGTCCCGTTTTCCATTCTCTCACATAATCACTTTCCGATTACCTTTATGGACAATCGGGGGACCGTGACCTTCACGGTATGCTTTGAGTTGCAGAGGACCAGTGGCGTTGAGAGGATCAATTTCCTGTATGAAAACAACAAAATCAGTAGCTGTCCACGGCGAAACTTTTACGTTCGTGGTACTTAACTTTGAGCGGAGTGGACGCACAAATGACCGTGAAGAATATATAGATATAAATTAGATAGACAGTCTCTGGAAGAGGATCAATGAAAGTACGTATGCATTGTCTTCTGGGGACTGTTGGAGACTATGACAATCTAAGTGAGGCAGCATGTGGACTGCCGATCAGATGAAATTGAAGTCGGATGAAACAACAAATATGTGGGGCTATAACCTACTCAAATAGATATAGTAGATATTATTTTTAGGCAAGGGATATTTGGGTGCCCTCTCCCGACTGTTACTGTCTTCTGCATTGAGTAAACGAGGGGTAACCAGCAAAGTCAATGACGTATTGCCGGACCGAAGGAAACTGCTGGAACCACGCTGCCCTTGCGCTCTGCAACTGGAAAGTGGTCCATAGTCTCCCTCCAGCCAATCAAAAAGCACAGGATTGCGATAACCCCGAGCTTTGCGATTAAGACTGCCTTGGTGGAGGACGGTTGATGACCGCACAGCCCAAAATGGAACGTTTGCTACTGGAAATAAGTGTTTAGTCTGTTCACAGGTACGCGCAAAGAATTTGAAATCTCGACATTGCCGAAATCCTTCTCGAGCATTCATAAATGAACAAGCCAATATTAGGGTTATAACTTCGTCAGAAATTAATGCTCAAACTCGAAACCCGTGGTACAAGTCTTGGTGAGCTCGATCTCGAAATCGAGATGGGCATTTAGACTGAATTCAGTCGAGAGAATCGCCACTTTTTAATCTTAACTGCTAAAAGTACTCTGCGAACAGTAAAGTCAAGAGATCGACATAACCAATTGCATGGAAACAATCTTTTAAGGACTGGATTGAACTGCATCAGGTGGCCCATAGCTGATTGGCCTTCCATGTGTAGTAACTACAGCACAAAATGTCCCCGGCATATTTTCCATTGGCCTGTCAAGCTCAACTTGCAGCAACGGCTCCTGTACTATTTAATGGGCGCCGGCGAGGCTTATTAATGTCGGGTTGTGATTTCAGCGCTTAAATCCTGAAACGTCAACGATTGCGCGCCTGTCCGATCGGATACGGAACTCCCGGTGAAAAGAGCCGGGGAAGCAGTCAGTTACTGGCATCTGTTTTAAATGTTTGGACGAAGTGTGTCTGCTGAGGTGGAACAGGTGTCGTCCTGGGGGATACAGCGTAGAAAACCCTTCGCCAATGGTGAAATCTTTGCGCCTAGTCTCTCCCATTACCGTACACTGACAGCATTCCGATGAAGAATGGAGAGGCTACTCCGTATGCAAGCTCAAATCGATCTGTCATACAGTGAGCAATCTCTCGTAGCGTGTATCACTTAGTGAGTCACCCTCAGGACATTCCGTCGATCGATATTCCGCCATAAACTTTATCAACCGTCACAGTTCTGCACTTTGAACGTAGATTTTCCTGTTCAGACGGCCACGTTGTGTTGCGAACTCCGCCAAGCCCATTAGGGCATCGCTCACTCAAACTCTGCATCTTTTTACTGGAACTAAGTGAAGACCTTGCCAAATTCGAGTCAGTATGGTCGATTCACGTGTTTTTTTCCCCAATTAGCACGCTTGTACCATGCTGCTTGCGTTTGGTCACTAAGACAGGCATGACTGCTGAGCCAATATCTAAGGCTTCAGGCTGACCTCCGTCCGATTTAATGACCGTCCTGAAATGTCTGCCGGTCATAAAGGGACTAGAAAGTACCGTCTAAACTGCCATTGTCTATGCTTTTGACAGAGGGGGGGGGGCGCTTTTATGGTCAGACACGGGGGTATGGGTCCCCGTAATACGGGTGGTCTCTCGCCAAGCTCCAGGACGTACAGTAAGTGGGCTAACTCATGAAATGTCAACCGAAATTCCGAAATGCGTTTTCGTTCCCAAAAGATTAATTAAGTAGGGTTGTAAAAGTGGTCAGCCTGCAACATAATTCTATAATATTTCAGTTACCTCAGGATGCCGGCTTTCGAATGAACTTTCTTCCGGTTGCATGCAAAAACTACACTCTGTAAAAAATGACTACTTATGTTGCAAACATTTTTCTCCTTGATTTTCGATGCCCCAAATGTCCAATTATATTTCATGGGAAACATGCAAAAAATATTCATTCTTTTGCTCATTCGGTAGAAAATTACGTCTTCTAATTTTATACTTGAAAGAGGCACATAATTCAGTTTTAAAAACGTTTCTTATTGTGGGACTTTTAAATACCGTGAAATGGCCGCTCATAAATCGTCATGTCTCTGCATTTACCAATGTGGCTCATAAAATTAACAATATGGATCAAATCCACTGCTAAATTTTATGAACCCTATATGGTCTCTCTTTATTAGCCTAGAGAAATATGGGGTTTTCCGTACCCGGGAAATATACGGCTTGCAGTTCGGAAACCCTGAATCCAAGTGCGATGGTAGAGCGGGTTCAAAATTAATCTGGAATTAGAAAAGTTTTTGATAGCCGAATTGTACCCTTCCTTCAAGTATAAGATTGGAGGAAGACGTAATTTTCTATTGAATGAACAAAAAATTAATATTTTATGCATGTTTTCCATGAAATATAATTGAACATTTAGGGACATCGAAAATCAAGGAGAAAAATGCATGCTACTTAAGTGCCCATTTTTACAGAGTGTAGTTTTTTCATGCAACCGGAAGAAAGTTCATTCGAAATCCGGCATCCTGAGGTAACTGAAATATTAAAGAATTATGTTGCAGGCTGACTAGTTTTACAAGCCTGCTTAATTAATCTTTTCGAAATGAAAACGCATTTCGGAATTTCGGTTGACATTTCATGAGGTAGCCCACCTACTGTACCTATTCCCGTGTCTTCAACCCTAAACCTAGCCCTAATTCATACCCTAGTCATGCCACACGCTATCATAACCCTAATATTCCAGGCCTAACCCTCCTAACCGTGATCATAAAACTATAATCCTAACTCTTTCCCCCGCAACTTAGGGCAGGATCACCTGTGACAGGGGAATCCATATTTCCATGGCAAACCGCTGTTATTCGTGCTCGTACATTTTTAAAATTTTCCTTCCAAGTAGATTAGTCATTTCTGGACAACTTTGTCTGCAAAAGCGCTTGCGGAAAGTTGTGTGCGTTTCATAAGTGAAGAACTTCGTTGCGAAGCAGTCCGCAACCAACTAGCTCATTGTCCTTCGGCAAAGAGCTAAGGCGAATTTCGAACAAAAGGTTCCATATCCCAAATACCAAATGGCCCCTTACATCGCTTAGTCCGATAACAGAGTCGAGGGTATCCTGGGGACAAAAACAGATGGAATATCTAGACATGAGACAATGGAATGGCCATTTATGGCTGCTTGGCCGTTTTTAGTCAGCCTTTTTAGGTGCTGCTATGCGGTTGCTGTTTGGGTTCGAGAGAGAACCCCAAGGCACAACGGAACGAGTGATCTCCATAACATGATCGGTGATCGCCCTCTACCAGATGGAATATTTAATATATGCGTTTTTAAAACGCCGATGTTTTGACTTCTTCCGCCTAGAAAGTATGATTTCTATATGAGCAAAATGACACTTGTAAAGTTTTTTTGATTATTTCTTTGTGCGACGGTTTCCGTCTATGCATATATATACCCTGAAGAGGATGTTGCGCTTTCAGGTTTCCAGCCAATATTGTCCTCCACGGGGAAGGAGCCAGAAATAGTGGATCCGAATGAGACGGACGACCCGGTTGGATCGTTCTCCATGAAAAAAGAAATCGCCGACATGCTGACTTGCAATAAGATTACCTTCCAGTTCCTGGCTCTGAGCGTGTGAGTAACCAGGCTGCACGCGAAGTTTTTTGTGTTCCTTTGCATGGATGCACACTTTTGAAATGCTCATGAAAGCCTTGGCTTTTACAGGGTCTTCCGATTATAGAGGCAAAGGGGATTCCAAGGTAATTTCATCGAAAAAATGACATAGTAAGTTGTACACGTCTCTGTCGGACAGAGGCAGCTGCTTGTCATGCAGCACTGACCAGCGCGACCGAGGACTGCAGACATGGATGTGCGGGTGGCGCGTAGCAGCATGAGAAGCTGGTTGGAATTCATTGCTGACGATGCATGTTGTCCTATCAGGTCACGACCCTAAATTTAGGGCCGTTCAGATGGTGGCCCAGGGAAGTAAGCCCAGAGTTAGGGGGCTACCGACTGCGTGGTTGCCAGACGTCCACTCATCCAACGGTAACATCGACTTACCCGCGGCCTATGCTGCCTTGCAGCATCAGATAACAGGCAGCCAAGCTCCCCGACAGTTTGACCATCGGTTCCGACGACGTCCACCGTGTGCTCCAGAGCAGGGCCAGAGCAGGGACGGTGATTCGCGAGTGGATTAGATTATAATGACAACAGACTTGCGCAACATCTGTCGCACTCTCTGCTCTCCTCCTACCTGGACCCGATGTCAAAACCGAATCAAGAAGACTAGAGGTGGGAGAAGCCGCAGGTAGCTGCCATGACAAAAACCCACCCCTAGGCATACCACCGTACCCGGCGGTCCACAACAAACACTTGACTAGGACTTTCAACAACAATAAAAATGGGAGAAAGCAGGGATCCCAATTAGCGCGACGAGCTTGCAACTAGCTCTGCCATCTCACCCCAAATTGGTTGGCATTCCCGATAACGCCTGTCAGAATCCAACCTAGCCTCCGTATTGGTCCAGCCCACCTACCGCGTGGCCCGGTTTTAGGGGCAAAGGTCAACCTCACCAGAGCCTGTAACACGACATGTGCCTTCCCATCCCCACCGAGACCGGGACCACGGGACGCCTGCGCCGTACTTGAGCGAAGGTCCATGATTAACCCAAACTCACACTCCCTGAGGTGCAGGCGTTGAACACATCTGGCACTTTCATACACGATAGCACACACGCAGACGCAAACGCTATCTAATGACGAACAGGCCCATTTGCTGTCCCCAAATTCGAGAGCAAAACGGACACCTTTAGATTATCGCCCGCCCCTCTTCGGTCTCGGGGTAATCATTCTGTCTGGAAGTCTCCCTTTGTAGCTTTGAGTTTTACATATTTACTGCGACTTAAATTGGCAGCCGGCGTTGTGTGTGCTTTTGTGGACAGGTCAGATGAAGGACTGTAGGTCAGTCCCAAGGTGTCCTTCTTGCTATGGCCCCATACGGCATTCTCACGCAAGTGACACTCGAGCCGTCCACTCCCTTTGTGTGAAAACCCGGTTTTATGCCCAGATTGGGCGTGTGGGGCTCGCGTAGACGGACTGTCTGGCCTTGCTAGTCACCGCGCCTGACCCTGCCTCCGGTCTTCTTTACTCTGTCTTTGAGTTAGGCTCAAACGGATGAGGGATAGGGTGCGATAGATGCAGCGCAAGTACACCATCACCATAAACTGACTCACGAGCAAATCACCGTCCCTGCGCCCACCCTGTTGTGGGGCACACGGCGATTATCGTTGCTCGCGACGGCCGAACTAACAGTCCAAAGTATGTAAGCTAATGCCAGTGGAATGAAGTTCGTGTATACATAACAGCATGACACGCAAGCAACTAGGGCCTGGTTTCTCACCATTAATGGTTAGTGAATCATGCGGTTCCTGTCAATCGTTTCTGGAAACAGCATTACTGCAAAATCCTAGATGAAAAAACTGTTAAATAAGGAGTCTGCATAACCTCTATATTCATTAGTTGACGTATACCATGAAGCCTTAACTGAAACTTTAAAATTTATCTCGATTAGAAATGATTACTTGAGTGGGGTCGTAAGATCAACTGTTAGAGGGCATATTCGAAAGATATCTTGGTCACATCAAGATGTCGGTAAAGTGGCTACCAAAGTAGTATGAATCTTTTGTTATCGATCTTCGATGCCCGTGATACCATAAAGAGGGTGTCATCTAGCGTTCGCAAGAAATTTGCAATGGATATGGACAACACCGTATGCTTCATTAGGTGCATTAAAAAATGAACAAACACGGGATCATTTAAATTGACCTTAAGTGGCCTTAAACACTTCATAAGTTGAAACTTTTAGGTCATAATAAACCTTATCCTCGAGTAGAAAACTCTAAGAAGACGTGTCTTACCACAAAAGGAGTCTTATTTATGAAGGCGGCTGGAAGGAAGAGCATTCAAAATCCGGCCTGCTGGCGCGACTTAATTATCTTGAGTTTCCGCCACATGCCCCAAAGGTCTGCAATCGTCTGCTATGCCAGGATCAGCAAACCATGGCCCTCGCGACCTGGTATGCGTTGGCAGTTCTCTGACACCTGGTACCCGCCGGTAGATACACTTGCGCTCCCGCTCGGTATACAGTTCGTGAACATGGCTGTCCATTCGTCCTCTTCCTCCCAACCCGTCGTGATGTTGTTGTTGGTTAAAACCCTGGTCGATTGTTGCAGGGACCAGGGGTTGTGGAGTGGAACGCCACGGTGCGGGCTCAGCCGCCTCATCCACCTGAGCTCTCACCCGCCTCCGGTCGAACTGTCGAAGTTAGTATTACAATCCAACCGAAGTAATCCTATCTAACCGAAATCATGACGCAATAAGGTAATGTTCTGACGACTAGCGAGTTGTATCTCACGAGCCCCTAGCCTTGAAGGCAGCAAGTAAAACTGAGCAGTGAATAATATAGAGAGTTTGAACGTTAAGAAACCTGACAAGAGAGCACGACAGCGGAGCAAGGCGGGTTGTACAGGTGTGTCATTTTTCGTCACATTCAAACAAGCAATCCGGTCAAAGGAAATGGGACTAAACTGTCAAAGGTAAAGTAGTCCGCTACCTCACCACAATCATACTCCATAATTTCAGCTAATGTTTCAGAAGTGGCGCCACCTACTCATCTACACTACTTTTTTCTCTCCATTCACCGTTCTTGTGTGAGCGCAGTACCTCTGTTGTACTCGGCCAGAAGCATCCTCCGCAGCACCAGTGGCAGTTCCGTGTCGGGCGTAGTGTCCGATGTGATATGGGGTCACGCTTCCAGTGTGCCGTCTGTGTTTTTGCCCATCGAGACGTCCAACGCAGTAACGTCGCCCTCTTTTGGGTGCATGGCAACAGACAAGCGCCGTTCTGATAAACGGGAAGTTAACATGTTTTGGAAGACCGGCGGCCATGTCAAAGGGTGCTGAGCCCACTTTTTCGACAGGATTCAGAAGCCAGGGTTACTTCCAGCGAATATGGTCACAAATCCCGTCCCATCGTCAGGAGTTTGTCGGTCCCTCCTCCACAACGATGTCCACTTCGCAGAATGACCTGACAGTGAAGGAGAGCGTCGGCCACAGGAGCAAAGAAGGGTTAACTGGTCGTGATCACTTCAATTACATAAGGAAGGTCAGGCACCGAAGTTTAATTGCTGACTGCTCGAGTGATTATACCAGCTTGTCGCGCACGCAGTGGAGTGCCATGATTTACCATACGTGCATGCGGTCTGTTCAGCTTTGTTAATGATTGCGACTGCGCCGAGCCATGGCCGTCTTAATTCTGTTTTGCCATCGAGGCAAGGTGGGTGACGGAGGAAAGAATGAGACATACAGTTAGTGACCTAACTCATGAGATGTGTCGGAATTTCCGAATGATTGTCAATCACTCGCAAACCGACACCATTTCATGAGTCCAATGTCTATGTTAATTAAGTACAAGTTTAAAAGAATTAAAAACATAAAAAGAAATATTAAACGCAGTGTTGCGTTACTTAGAAATGCCGATTTATTTTGAGAAGCGCAATATCTCGAAAACGTCAGAAATGGCTCTAATTTAGCGAACTTCGCTTTTGGATGTATAAAATGTATTCTCACACAAAACGTCGTAAATATGAAAGCGGAAATAAAATAACGTCGAATAATAGTGTTTCCGTAAAGTTTACATCCAACTATCGTTTAATAATTAGCGTGATTTCATGTACGACGGTTTTTCAACTGCCTACATTCTAAGGGTAGATTTCAAAACAGTTTTCCAACGTTTCGTGTTGTCCTTGACTCTTTTCAGTTAAATGAGGTAGGGTTTAACAAGACAAACTGGATTTTGCTTGATTTCGCCGATGAGGACGTCGTAGGAACAAATGTTTTTATAAGGTGACATGCCGTGAGACCGGTCAGTGTCTAATGAATTTAAATAGAACTGACAGACGTGATCGTAAACATACCATTTTGTGTTTATAGAGAGGAAGTTTCTCCTGTTAAATTAATTTACACTTTTCGTTCGTTTTGAATTACGTTGAGTTTCAGATCGGCCTCGAAAGGTCGCTGAATACTTCATGATTTTCAGTGTTTTCTCCCGATCATCCTTAAAGACAGATTCTGAATTACCTGTCTGTTGAGAACTTTAAGATTATTCTTGAAGGCATTTACCGATTAAGTGCGTTTTCGGGCGCTCCTTTTCACGAAGGTGGTCGTTTGGGTCACATATGAAGACTTATTCAAACATCGAACTTCATTTTCGAGAAAAAGGGCTGTCCACAACGAAAGTCAGCAACGAATACGCCTTCGATCAATAAGAAAATTTTCCTTATTAAGTTACCTGTTTAAGAAGTGCTATTTTACTGCACTCCGTTGACGGAGCTCTGTGTACTTTGCACTTTTGGCCAGCTGAGGCTAAAATTTCACACTGCGCCATTCACTGTTACCGCGCCTACTCCCCTGTTCAAATGGTGAACTTCACCTGTGACTGTCGGCCTGTCATTATCTGCCCATTTTAGTCATTAGTGTAATGCAAATTACAGAACGCGACCTCCCGATTGATGAGGATGCAAACTAAATGAAACTGACCTACTCTTACCTGACCGAGGCCGCCAAGCTTCAGGAAATGGGTCAGACGAATTATGCTTGTCTGCAGACTCGATTACTCTGACTCCGACTTACCCAGTATTGCCCGTGTTGCAGGATTAGTTTCTATTGATAGAGTTATCTGGCGCATGCATTTACGCTTTAATCACGACTGTCCTGATTACGAAGAGGGACAAGTAAGAATCCCTTGATGGAAAGGAAAGTCTCGAAAATTGCCCTGAAGCGGCTATTTGTTTCCTTACTTTTTGCAATTATCACTTTCGTTTCTGTTGACACAACGCTGATACACGAAGAAGCATCTAACATCCGCCTCATTTTTGGGGATGTTTTGTGACGTTCAAAATACGCAGGATGAACTTGACACTGAACTGCTATCTTTTTTTAGAAATTCGCTGAGTCTCGCGTCGCCTCTGAATGCGTCGTCGGAGATCCTCATTGCCTTTCGTTTCTATCGATTCCCCAAAACAACCACGCCATTGTAAGTTGTACTTCCAGACTGCTGCTGCTTCTGATTGCCTATGCCCTCGTCGGGGGAGGGAGTTCCGATAAGAGAAAAACTTCCAGGGGTCCTTCCACCGGTTTCCCCAGTTGATCCCAAACTGCTGATGTGAAATGTAAATGTGCCGTCCTTAAATTTTCCTTCAAGAGTGTCTATGATCTAATTAAAGGCAGAGTCGTCTGACGTCGTGGACATAAAAAATGAATAGACTTTAGGGTAAGAGGATAGCATACTAGTAGCACAGGTACTAGCTAAAGATCCATACACGCGTATTTCAACGATATTCCGCTGCCGCATGGCACAGCTGCAAGGGGTTCGACTCATCAGTGGGTCACCCAGCATTCCCCGTCTGTTTTCTGGTAGATAATGCAATTTAGAATATACCGATCTACTCCAAGTTCGCAGTTAATTTCTGAAAAAATGAAAAAACGGCAATGAATAGACTCCAGGTCAAGTAATTGATCCAACTGTTTTGTGGTTGCCATGCCCCACAGCGGTCTACAAATTCGCGTTTAGTTTTCATCACCTTCGGTCTACACATGTTTGCGCCACTTTCCTGCTTCGCAATTTAATATTTACCATGTTACTTGTTTAAAATGGACACTTTATTCTTTTTATCTCGGATGTTCTTTCAGCCTCTGCTTGTCTGAAGCCCAGAACGAATTTTCGCAGCTCGTCGGTGGGAAAGCCTTTCTGATTCGAAATAGAGTGGATGCCCAAACTAAGCCCAGCATCGAAAATCCACCCGGATATTGTGTAAGAGATGGTTTTTTTCACAGTTGATAGTCAAAGCATGCCAGCTTTCTGTCCTTTTATAGGAGTAAATTGGGTCTTTGTCGCCCCCGACCCCCGCTTACAAGCAACGCTAATTTTCAGGACGCGAATGGCATTAGCTGATTGGCCAGCGAAGGACGACGGACATTAACCGGTGGTGCATGCGAACCATCGATCCCTTCCGAGTATTCATAGTGAGAGCAGGAGAGTCTGTCCAATAAAACGACAAGAGTGCGGTTTGTGACAAAATAAAAATAATATCGGAAATAAAACATTGAAAGGGTTAAGGAGGTACAGAAGAGCGCCATATAGGAAAAAAGGAACAGAAAAGGGGCAGGAGAAAGAAGCCGAAGAAACAAAAATAAGGAAAAAAATAAATGGAAAATCCTCGGAAATGATATTAAGACAAGAGTGAGGCTGGCACAAAGGTTTTGCGTAAGACGCGAGAGAAGAAGAGAATGTGATCGCTGGAACAGAGAGTTTATTAACCTGACGCCTAAGATCCTCACTTGAACCCATCGTCAGAGACAGTCGCAACTATGGGATTCATTAACTTTTATGCAACCAAAGTATTTTTTCTCCACATAATTTCAGCACATTTCTGCAGCATAACCTCTGTCTACTTCTAGGTCTCCTTCAATGTGGATCCACTGTTTCTTCGACTGGGAGAAGATGAGAGATTCCTGCAGTTTCTCCTCACGAGTTCTGTTCACCTCGAGGTTTGGAGCGCAGAATCGATGATGCTAATAGGAACGGCGTCTGTGGAACTTAAAGTATGTGTTGTGGCCGAATGTCATCACGACGTCACTCTCTCACTGCATTCTCAAAAGTTGTGTCTTGCCTATTTCTCAATTAAATCCCTCCACTCGAATATGCCCAGAGGCATTTCACTTACACAGAAGCTTAACTTTAGCATCATTTTTGAAGTCGTGAAACCTGCCTGCGGAAAAACAACCTGGTAGGCGACCCAAATCACACACTTTGGGATGACCGTTTGTCGCCTGTTAACCGACAGACCAACCCTGCGTACTGGCAATCAACTGCCCTATCTACCTAAGTCATCGAGCTTGCCTTCCGTCGGCTGGTCTTAACAATGTTTAATGATCGTGTCGCGGCGACTTAAGCCATAAGCAGACCGTATCCACTACGACCTTCAGGTCCGGTCTCGAACAGAAAGAGACGTTGAACACTAGTCGAGAGGATGCTGTATTTGAACAGAAAAATTAGAGAACCGGATGAAACAAGTTGGCGGTCGGACGAGAGAACACGTCTTGTGCCTTTAGAGCGGCGTCCCGAGTGAAGAATGCGTCACAGCGGCTTGAGTTGACTTTGGAGACGATTGGCCCGTTTGGGCAGCTGTGATTGGTCGAAAACAGGACCGCCAGTGACGCGCACTTGCAAATACTCGCGAGCAGTGTAGCGTTACAACTGGTGCCCGGAGAAGGGCTATTACAGCCATCCCTAGTTTATTGGCCGCCATCAACTCGTGATACTTCGACCTTCAGATGTTGGAACACACGAGGAGACTATTGCCTGAAATATCCATTACTGTGTTTCTAATTTTTTTTTTGATAAGGATAGGTTGTGTAACCCATTAGGTTCATTATGCATAATCAACTACTGAATTAGTTTTAGTAAGTTTTACTTAGTTTACCAGTTCACAGCTACAGGAGGTCACCCTGGGAGTTTTACCTAACACACTGATATAACCACCTGCAACGAGTTGTTTCAGTATGGTCTTTTTAGTGATAAATTGCTCGTCCACATTGACAGTTAGCCAAACTAGATAGCAATCCCCTTGCTTGGCAGTATTTTACCACCTTCTCCGAGTTTATGACTTCGGTTATTTCCTCTGCTTTTGTCAGAAAATCCAACTATGGTTGTCTGACTCCGCTGCGACCTAGAGTCGGCTGTCTGTATTTTGGAAGTAAAAACAACCATTATTACCTACTCTGTTCGTAAATGCATTTCATAATTGCGCATAACCTTTGCATATTAATATTTATTTTCCTTAAATTTTTATTCTGCAGTAGTCAGTTGACTCATAACGGAAATGTACGCACGTTGTTTTACTTACACCTGATTCATTAGGGCGTATTTATATGGCTTCTCTAATAACACATGTCATCCCGCCAAATCGGAGTAAATTTTCAATTGCAATATTTGCCCCTTAACGTTCTCCTTTCCCATTAATTGTAAGTTCAATTGGTTCCTGAACTGTCGCAAATTTGCTAGTGGCGGATTCCGCAGTTGCTTTTCATTTATTGAGAGTAGCTTTTTGTTTATTTTCAATTGACGCGATCACTTTCGTTGCTATATATAGGCGTAGAAGAAGATCTTCAGCGGAAATCCCCCTAATCTTTAGGTTCTGTTGCATGCATTTCGTCTCCCCTCCGCGGTGATGTCCCGCCCCTAAACCCCATATCACTATTTCCGTATTACACGAACCTTGGGGTTACACAACCTACTGTTGCCTTTTCGGTAAAACTTCCCGGATATCGTGTAAATTGGAATTTTTGCATTAAATTGCCAATTTTGTTTCGGCCTTTCACTTAAAGTAGCCTGGAGGTGATGTTGTAAAAGCCGGTTAACAGAAAGCTTCCTTCCTAGCATGCTGCCTTTCGACCAAATTAGCAAGGAAAATTATCATATTGGTTTTTGATTTTTTACATAAATTTACTTATATTTTGCTGATAGAATGGACGAAAAGCTTATTTTTGCACTTACTTAGCAGGACGCCGCTTTTCCTTCGAAGTTAGGACGTTTCAGAATGGATTATTTTCACCTGCAAAGAGTTCGTGATTTTGGTTATTTCTGAAAAGTTCGCCTGAATATTAATCAGCCCACTACCCACAAGTTCACCAGCTCACTGTGGGTAATATCTAGCCCAATATTGGTGATGTGTGTGATTCGAAAAAAGGACGCGGAGAGTAGTATGAAAACCCACAGAAGAGGTAAATACGGCGGCTTCTTTAAAAGTTTATAAGGATCAGTAAACCCTTTTAAAAAACACACTTTCGCCCTTCTTAAAGTAAAAACCGAAAGCGCAGTCTTCCACAAACAGTACACGCATTTTTTTCTTGCTCCTCATAAATACTATTAGTAAAAGAATGGAGGCGTCAACAGTCAGTGAAGGAATGCAAACTACATTGGCTGTGCGTTTTTCACGAGAAGTATGATTCACGCAGGAGAACGGAAATTTATTTAACTCCAAGCCAATAATCTACCGTGTAGGACTTGGCGTAAGGCCATTTCCCCTGCTAAAAAGGACATGTAGCATCACTTTAACGGTAAGTAATTAGACTCTGAGACAAAAACGGTCGCCTCACATTAAAAACCCAAAATAATAAGTCTCCAATCAGGTTAACACTATGCCTTAGTCTACGCATTCACTTAAATGCTTTAGACGTGGCCTAACCTGCCAATTAAAATACCTATAAATGGAACGCTTTGGATAAGCGTAGTACACGTGAAATCTGCGTTGATATCTTCCGTTCAACGGCTGACTAGTAAAACTGTTTGTAATCGCATCAGATATCTGCCGTAAAAGCTCTGGAGGACGGTCTCGGGCTATCGCTGGTTGTTTGCGTTGGGGTTATGATTGTGATCGTTGCAGCGCCATTTTTACACCTGTTTAAATTAGTTTTATGTATAAAACTGTCCAGCCAGCCAGATGTTAAAGAGAGTGGTTAAAACTGTAATCTGACAAAGTGTACTTTATTTAAGCACCTATGCAGGCAAGGTCGCGAGGCTGTTCAGGTGATCTACGCTGCCGATGTGACCGAACCACCAGACTGGGACTGGGTCGGGGACGGTGCCTCAACCGACGAGGTGCCGCAGGCGACCAATCGCGTGCTCGGACAGCTGCACATCCGTCTGGCCAATGTTGGCTACCGAGAGGCAAGCATCGCTGCCTCACGACGAACCATGCGCGGACGACAGAAGCGATCGCATGTAATCGCGATGGGGCAACCGGGCACAACTCCGGGGTATGTCCTGAGCGGTTTCCTCTCTGATCTGAGAGAAGAGTTAAGCACTTTATTGTGGCAAATGCCTGCGGTAAGTGATGAACCTCATGAAACACTAGCCGAAATTACGAAATATGATTTCGGTTAGAAGGATTTACTGAGGTAGGATTGTAATGTTGAGCAGCATGCAACATAATCCCAAAATGTTTCGGTCATGCAAGGATGCTGGCTTTCGAGTGAGTCTTTCTGGCATCTTGCAAACATTGCACTCACTAAAAATTCTTGCTTCCGTTTAGTTTCAATGTCCGTATAATTTTAAACAAATTTCCTAGAGGGCACACCCATTAGGACATTCATTCTTACACTCAATATGCGTAAACTAAATGTTCGAATTTTCCACTTGAAGAAGGGTTTGCATTTGTTTTAAAAAAATTGTAAGTAGTTATCACATTTTCAAGACTGCAAAAGGTCTATTCACATCCGTCCCATTGTTAAGGTTAGTAATGTTTGTCAATTTTAGTCCATATCCAGTGCAACGTCTTATGCGTCCCATATGATATCTTCGCAACAGCATACAGCAACGTATAATTTTTTTAAATACAAAATTGCCACAAGTGCATCGGCAAGTCGGGTTTAAAAGTAACCGGGAATTGCAAAACTGTCTTAAGACCGGGAGATTCTGTTTCTTCGAGTTAAAACTTTCAATAATACGTAATTTGCTAACAAACGTGGGAAAATATAATTGTGTTCATGTTTTGTTTAAATATTTTTAGATAAGTGAAAGAATAGGTCGGGGAAAAAGATTCCTGCTACTTGGCATTCATGCAGGCGAGCAAGAGTGGGTGCATTCAATAGCCCGCATGGTGACATGTCTAAAATATCATCTGATCGTGCTGTGTGATAAGTAGTCATACAACCGCACTGTTATGTATGCAAAACAGAAGGGTAATTGGAAATAGGACGTGTACTGAGTACGATGCCCTGAGTACTGATGCCCTGGCGGCCCGGACAGGATACGCTGCACGCACCTACGTAGATTGGTCCAGCCGAAATCGCATTTCAGAATTCCAGTGAATATTTCACGAGCTACGTCACATAATTAAAAGTTCAACTGCTAAACTGACATTCTACTTGCCACAAGCAGTTTTCTCAGAATGAATCATTATTTGGATGGACTAGGCTTGCCTCCTAATGACTGCACAGCTAAAAAACGGGTAGGGGAAATCCACAATTCCTAACGGTCCCCACCGTCATAAAATGCACTCCTGCTCCACAGGTTCTACGGCGGTTCATTGTCAACTGTGCTCCAGGCTGCTCCTGTGGCCTCACAACCAACCAAGACAATCGTTGTCCGAGCACGAAAAATGGTGGACACCTATTCGCAGCTGGATGAACAGTTGAAAATCCAGAGGGGCGTGCTTCGCAGTCCAGCCGAGTCGTCGGTGGGGCCCGATGGCGCGGAGAGAGAGCGTATGCTGGCCAAATTCAGGATGGCCAAACAGGCTGCGCTGGCTGTGATGGGAGATAGGGAGAACACTCGTGAGGTTTGTCGTCGACACTTCTACTACAATCCCAAAATCCCCTTACTTCAGTGAAGGGGGGGGAGCATACTTTCAATATCCATGACCCGTCTACGCTTAGCTGGTTGATTTTCGTTTGTTTGCTTTTTGCGCAGGTGCCATTTGATAGGGCCACCGAGCTGGACATCATCGACACCTTCCGTACGAGTGTGAAACGTGAGAACATCCTTTCGATGCTGACTGGGGCAGCCACTCTGAAGTATGCTCTGCACACATCCTTCGGCAGCACGGAGTTCTTCGAGTTCGAACTGCATAACCCCGAGAACCAGGAGGACCATGCTCAGGTTCTCATCGATGATTCAAAGTAAGAACAACGCCCAAAGCAGTACTCTATGTCACGTTGCTCCAGTACCATTGGAACCCATATAATTAACTCGGGGGCTCTTTGTTAAGTGTGACCGTACGGCCAGTGACCGATTTCATGAAATGTTAATTGGAAATTCTGAGATCCATTTTCGATTAGAGGGGTTACCTACAGTAAGTGGGCTAACTCATAAAATCTCAACGGAAATTTCGAAATGCGTTTCCGTTTCGAAAAGATTAATTAAGTAGGGTTGTAAAACTAATCATCGCGCAGCATAATTCTATAATAATTCAGTTACCCCAGGACGCCGGTTTTCGAACAAACGCCTTTCCGGCTGCATCCACAAACCATACTCCGTACTAAAATGACTGCTTATGTAGCCCGCAATTTTTTCATTGATTTTTGACGCCCTTAAAAATTCGATTATATTTCATGGAAAACATGCATAAAATATTCATTCCTTTACTCATTTGATATAAAATTACGTCTTCCTTCAATTTTACACTCTAAGGAAGGGTATAATGTGGTTTTGTAAAACTCTTCCGATTACTGAATAATTTTGAACCCGACCGGCCGTCACACTTGCATTCAGGGCTCCCAAACTACAAGTCGTATAATTTCCGCGTATGGAAAACCATACACTTCTATACCGTATTAAGAGGAGACCATATTGGGTTCAAAAAATTTAACATTGGATTGGATCTATATTGTTAACTTTACAAGCCACACTAGTAAATGCAAAGACATGGCGTTTTGCGAACGGCCATTTCACGGTATAAAAAATCTCACAATTAGAAACTTTTTAAAACCGAATTATACCCTTCCTTTGAGCGAAAAATTGAAAGAAGACATAATTTTATATCAAATGAGTAAAAGAATGAATATTTTTGTGCATGTTTTCCATGAAATATAATTGAATGTTTAAGGGCATTGAAAATCATTGAAAAAATGAATGCTACATAAGCAGTCATTTTAGTACGGAGTATGGTTTGTGGATGCAGCCGGAAAGGCGTTTGTTCGAAAACCGGCGTCCTGGGGTAACTGAATTATTATAGAATTATGCTGCACGATGATTAGTTTTACAACCCTACTTAATTAATCTTTTCAAAACGAAAACGCATTTCGAAATTTCTGTTGAGATTTCATGACTTAGCCCACCTACTGTAGGTGCCCTTGCGATACTGCTTATCGTGCGGCATAGTCCCAAAATATTTCAGTCACGCCAGGATACCGACTTTGGGGTGCGCTTCTTTTCGGCCGTCCGTAAAAACCGTAATCGGCGAAAGTGACTATTTAACTGGTTTGCATTTTTTGTGGACTTGCGATGCCCTCATAAATTAAAAGGTGTTTTATGAAAAATCATGCGTAAAATATGCATTCTTATAATCACCTGGTAGCAAATCACGTCTTCTTCAAAGTTTGTACTCGAGTAGACGGATTGCATGGCGCAATGACCCGTCCATAAACAATGAAGACCAATGGAAGTATTTGCAATACTTAAGCAGACTTTTGACGGTCATGGGTATGTCATATTTAGTAGCTTGGAAGGATAAGTCTAGTCAATAGCAGTCACCTGGAAATATAACGTTTTCAGATAGACACGGAGACAGGAAACCCATACGTAGCTTTACGCTAACCTCGAGGAAGGGCACTTGTTCCTGTCTCCTCCCATCTCCGACACTAACATTAATCCAAACCTCAACCCTAAACCTAACCTTAATCCTCACCCTAATCTCTCTGAAACTTAGCGCAAGACCATCTGTAGCGTGGATGGTTTTCATTCCCGCGGCCTACCTTTTTCACTATTCAATTAACTTAAAACTCCACCTGTGCATTCTTAAAATGCTTTATCGACGGAAGTGAGTCTCAGGCATTATTGGCAAAAACGGCTTTTTAATTACTGAGGTCGACCAGAGCTCCCGGGGAGTGTGGTAGGGCCATTATACACCCATCGGTCAAGCTCACGCCAGAAGCATTGCACTAAAAGTCGATCCCTCTGTGGACGCAAGACTGGGTAGTAGACAGCTCGACAGGTCAGGCAGAACCGCTCATTGGAAGAAAGAATGATCAGAGCGACATTTAAGTTTCGGTCGGTTTGTGCTGCGCTCCCCCTTCCTCGTCGAAGCAAACTTTAAACACCAGAAACAGAACAATTTGTGCACCAGATGATACTAAGGAATAGTAAGAAAAGATTCCGCGCATATCGACGGAAAACATATGCCCAGAACGATTCATGACCAACAGTATTAAGGAACGAAAAGCTAAAGTTAGAGGGGTCACTGCCATAAAAGGTGGGGACTTCTAACAAACTCTTTTTCCAAGGCAATGCACAGGGCGAAAAAGTAAACATACGGCTAGCTCGCGCTTTTCTCGCTTCGAAAGTCCGCCTTCATACTCAGTCCTACGAATGTAGAGACTGATATGCTCCCAGTTCAGATGACCTCAGGATGTATTTACTTCCCTGCATGGCAGGCTACCTTATTTGAGCGATCCTGAGCTTGTTCAAAAAGATGCGAGAACAAATGTCAACCTGATTCCGAAGGGGTGAATCAAAGACGGCCGTTGACTGCACCTGTGGCACCTAAGCTGTGGGAGTGTACTCAGAGCGCCACAATAATCACGGCACAGTCCCGCTTCAGAGAAGGGGAAAGTCACGTTCGTGTGCTAGAGCGACGCGGGCATGAGTGAATAAGCGTCACTTGGGAGTCAGTCAGTGTAAGCCTGATTAGTTGATTGGGTGATAGTAGAGTTTGTGGGCGCCCGTGATTGGCTATCCTCGTGGCTGAATGTGCTCACGTTTTGGCGCTCGGATGTAGTGATCACATGACGCTTAGCGCGGTGTGGGTGCCAGAGGCAGAATGTTTAATCCCCTTTTAGGGGCTACAACTCCCCGCCACACACCAAACAGAGTGAGGGGTCGACAGTGCAGTAAACGACCAAATGAATGTCCGAATCCAGTGCACATGCGGTTTTGAGAGCGCGTGTTGATAATGACAGGAGTTGCTCGAACCGCGTGAGGGGCTGATGCTGCGATATGTGCAGAGGGTCTGCTGGCGTAGGCTTTTTACTATGTGCCGATGAGTTGGCACATTTGGTATGAGAGACAAAGAGCGTGTCCGACATACCCTTGTCCACCTCATTGACACCGACCACCAATTTGACGCGCACTAAGCCTTCCAGATAGTCTATAGAGGGCAACCGAATCATCAGGAGTCAATACGGAAGCGCCTTATGGCTACGAAGAAGACGACGACAATCCGTCTATACAGCTCGCTCGGCCGTTCACCGAATGAACTTATACACCCCATTGGGGTACCACTTCCTCGCTCCGAAACATTCTTAAGTGAACATAATGAAAGGAATTACTCGTCTCGCTCTTTGAAATTTCCACCCAAAATGACAACTTCTCATACATCTGTGCAAGCCTGAGGACACTGAACTAAAAAAATATCAGTTGAGCGAACAGTCTGCAAGGATAGTGTATATGACCAGGCAGGTTTACTATCCAGGGCCGCCTACTATATTTATATAAGTAGGCGTTATTGGGCACGCTTTTTGTCGGAAACCAGTCCCACACTTCAACGGCTCCACCGGTTATCTTTCCCGACCCGGTCATATAACCTATACTTGCCGAGCAATCCTCTTCTGGACATCTTCATCGAACTATCGAAATTCAGAGTACAGATGCCTTCCGTTCAAATTATTTCCTCTTTGTAAATTCACACTATGCACAAACGCCAGTCTAATCTTCCTTCTCAACCACTCCCTTAAGTGGAAGTTTGCAGCTGATAACCAATGCACCGGAGATTCGAGCTTTTAAGGCTTGTCAGAACATTACGACCCCCACAGACGACAGTATCTTCGCTTATAATGTGCCGCTCCAAGGCAACGCGACCGACACAGACGTCAGTCCCCGAAGAAATCAGGCTGACATCGCCATCTGTCTTCGTCCCAATGAGAAGGTTTTGGTGCCCTTCAAGTACATGGAGTGTTCTGCCTCCACCGTCGATGAGTTCCTCACCGTAAAGCCAAAGGTATTTCCATACAGGCATAAATATGGGGTCATATAAGCTTTCCGAGAAGTACCTTTGCAGTTGGGTTGGTGTCCACTGAGAGCAGAATTAAATCTTATTAGAAAAAGTGTACAAAAGTAGTCGTTTAGACTATGGCAGGTACTAGGAAAACTTTGAAATTCAGAGTAAGATGTGGTTATGTAGCCCCTCCTGATGGACACAATACTGCTGGAGTTGGTACTAGGGGTTAGGGTTAGGATTAGGGACTATATTTAGGGATTGGGATTATGGGTTTAGGGGCTAAGATTAGGGATCAAGGTCAGGGATTAAGGTTAGGGGTTAGAGTTAAGGGTTGGGAGTCAGGGAAACTATTTCCTAATCACTCAAAGTACAAAGGCACATTCCAAATAGCCTTTCTTTTGCATCCAACTACTTGATCTCGTCGTCTGTGCGTTCCCTGGCCCCACCTGTAAGAAACCCTATTACCACTGGTCCCGTATTACAGGTGGCTAGGGTTTGTTTACTTCAGGTGGGGCTACATAACCACATCGGACCGAATCCAGAAAGCAGTATCAAACTCAGACATTTGAGATCACGGATACACAAGAACGATACTGCTTTGAATATTTTACCGTGTACCTAAAACCATTACAACCGGCACCTGTCAGTGCCTGGGGCAGAAATCTCCCTTTTTGAGAACGGGACCTTAACAACCAGAACTCTCTTGGGAAAGAACCCATAAACATATTTTTAATCCAGAAAATGTAACTCGTCCGAAACCTCCATCAAACCACTTTCTTAAGGCGGGACTCATCCACCATTTGGCTGAGTATACGAACAAAGGGAGCCGTTCAGAATTTAACATTGTTTCAGCCAAGTGCATGGTAAGACCCCGTCTGCGTGAAGAGAGAAGTGTGATTAGGTGCACTTGTTACTGTGACTGAAAGTAATCTGCTGTTCAGCAGACGAGCGGTCGCAGACCTGCACAAAGCTCAAAAGTGTGGCCACTATTTTCCACTCGCCAAGTTAATGACATTTTTGCATTCTATTTTCGTCTACTGACAAACTGGAGCCACATGCTAAGAGCTGCGATTGTAAGCGAAGGGCTTCTGGAACTTATTACGACAGAGAAATTACACCTCTTTGCGCTTTCTTTCAGGAACCGATTGATGACCGCGTCGCCGCCAAGGATAGGTGTGAACGCACAGCCATGGTAAGTGTTTTTGTTGTTCTCTACACATTTTTATGACTGCAACCTTTCTCATAAGTAATACTATTGTAAGCTGGCCCTCTAAACTCGGGGTTTAAGGCGGTTAAAACCTTGATTAAAATAGGTCTCCCTACTGACTGACTTTAAGCATTGACAGAGCATGCTGCCTGAAGGACGCTATTTGAAACAAACGTCTACCCGGCATTGCACCAGATGGCATACTGGGAGTCTCGAGTCCTTGGACTCGCACATCAGCAAAACCTAGTAGTGTGTGTATTTTAGGTTACTAGGCAACGCCCTTGATGACCCTATTGAAAACGGTACATACAATATACATGTTAAACGCACACCTCACTAAAATGTTGCCAGTAACATATTTGTTTACGGAAAACGTTCTTACAGTGCGGACTGTGAAGGGTGCGGCAGGCGGTCTTTTCAATGTACATATGAAATTTTAAGTGAAGTTATATACAATTAGCATAAAGTGCAGTCATTTGCGTAGTTTGATAGTTTAGTCACGCCAATATTGCTGACATCGAAGAGCTTGCCGACTCCATCATGATTAATAGGGGCTTGGGCGCCAGGATTGTTTTTTTAAAAGTACGAAGTAATTTTGTCCAAAATGATATTCTTGTCAGTCATAGCAACGGGCCATAACTTTGAAAAAAAAGGTTACGACAATTGGTCGCAATGATCCCACAACACAAATTGTTGAGCCTAAAAATAAAAGGAGACAGGTTCGAAGACTTCGCGTGATCTGTGGTTATCACTGCGTTTGTAGCGGTTACTCACGCCTGGATACATAGAAATGACGTTAATTTCCCGTATCCGAGCTTGTTAGATGTTACATTCTCCTGATTGGACGTCAAGCCTCCTGAGCTCAGCCAATGACACGACTCTGCCCGGCCGCCGTGAAGGTCATGTACAAGTGATGCTTGCACGCATCACGACTGCCTCGATAGTCAAGAGGAATTCAACACGCCTCGTCAAGAGGAGACCACTTTTTTCCCCGGAGCCCGACCACACCCGCCAGCGGATGGGTTTGGTTATCCCCCGAGTTGAGACCGCGGTGGCTGATAAAACTCCGCATAACCTGAGCTGAGATCTATCAGCCTTCAGTGAGTTGTTGCCCAACGCAGTGAAAAGGTATGCAGCTGCGCGTTTCTCAGACAGACAGTGATTTTGATGAGTGGAGACGAATGTTCGAATTCCAGGTGTATATACTGGTAGGGAGGGAGACTGAATGAGCACTGGGATGCTTTATTATCTCTCGGGATGAACTCCAGGAAGAATTCGAAAGCTCAGGAAAAAAAAACAAATTCACTTTGATCCAACTGTGAAAAACTCGGTGCCTCGGTGGGATTCGAACCCACAACGGCAAGGGGAGGCTTTGGTACAGCCAACGCACTGGCCACCTGAGCGAATTATTTGAAATCTGTCATAACACACCTATGAAAAAAATTGTTCCGGGGATGATGAGAACGCCCATCATGTCATTAGCAGGCATTTAAGGAAATCGACTCGTTCGACGTAGACGAGATCATAACTTTGTCATATGCGCCTGAACATTCTTTCCGATTTGACATAAAAACAAAACCGAAGGCCCTTCTGGATCGCAATTTTGGAACATGCTCTACTCGTTGTCGGTCTTTGTCGGTTTCCGTCAGTTCAGTCCAACGTTGAGCCCTCATATCCGGTATCATTGGTCGTTTTGACTCCTATGCTAATTATTACGCCGGAAAATTATGGAATTAAACTGTTCGTCCAGTACTCCACAGAATATTTCGCAGCTTTGCAAATCGCCGGGAATTTAGACTACTTGGTGAGTGATTAGAACCATCGAAGTACTTAAGCACATCTGGGCAAACTTTTGTTACCCTTGTCCCCCTGTTGTCCTTCAAGCGCATGAAACATTTTCCTGACTGACGACCAATCAGTATTTCTACCCCTGGCCTTTTTGACATCCTTCTGTGGACAACTCCACACCCTCTTGCAGGTAACCTTTAAATCAATGCGGACTGGTAAAATCCTGGGACAGTTGCAGTTGCAAATCTACACCTACCCACCAATCATTGATCAGACCTTCCACTTCTTCCAACCAGAACTCAGCTACCTCAAACGTGTTGTGCGAATCCCACCATTCACACGAAATGCAGGCGATCTGCCTTCGGCGGGCCTTGACGCGGAAGGTCGGGCTTTGCAGAAAGTCTGGACTCGAGTCTCCGATCCTGGTGTCATCACAGAGTCCTCGGTTGTTACCTTTGGAAGACCAATTGACTTACTGGTGAAAGTGAGCGCTGGAAGCTCACCGGATGTAAGTGGTGATCACTTATTTTGGTAAATGTGTTTCCATCTGAGCTACGAGACCTCACCGGATGACGCGAGTTTAATCACATTTGGGTCAATTACGTCTTCTTCCAATCTTATACGTGAAGGAAGGGTATAACTAGGTTTTCAAAAACTTTTCCAATTCTCGAATAATTTTAAACCCGCCCAACCGTTACACTTGGATTCAGGGTTTCCAAACTACAAGCCGTATATTTTCCGCGTACGGAAAACCACACCTTTCTCTACGGCAATAAAGGGGGACCATATAGGGTTCATAAAATTTAGCAGTGGATTTGATCCATATTGTTAACTTTGCAGGCCACATTGGTAAATGCAGAGACGGCCGTTTCACGGTATTTAAAAGTCCCACAATTAGAAACTTTTTTAAAACCGAATTATGTCCTTCCTTCGAGTATAAAATTAGAAGAAGACGTAATTATCTACCGAATAAGCAAAGGAATAATTATTTTTGTGCATTTTTTCCGGGAAATATAATTGGACTTTTATGGGCATCGAAAATCAAAGAGAAAAATGTGTGCTGCTTAAGTGGTCATTTTTTACAGAGTATGGTTTTTGTATGCAGCCGGAAGGAAGTTCGCAGTAGATGGAAACATGGGTAATTTGACATAATGTGACATCTTCTAAATAACCGGTATTGACTATAAAGACACAAAACCCGAACACCCTCAGTAGAACTCGGAAAAAATGTGACCATCGTATTACAGGTGGTTTTGCGCTAATTTTTAGAGGGGGTTATGGCTATGGTCAGAATTTGTGTTAGGGTGAAGGTTGAAAGGGCTAGAATTAGAGCTTGAGTTATGAATGTTAGAGTTATTGGAGTTTGTAGTGGGAAACACAAAGAGGATCCCCTGTCCAACCCAAATTTCTCGCAATGCATGCACATTTCGGTTTGACCTACCTTTTCAGATGGGAATGCAAAGCAAACTTCATAAACACAGACAAGTAGTTTGACATGGTGCGACACTTTCCTCACTAACCGTTATCTTTTGTTGTTGACTACGACAACATTAAAATACAAAGTTAAATTTATTCTAAAAATTCGTATCAATTTGGGAGACTGAAGTTCATGTGTGTTAAGGAGACAGTCTGTTGGTATTTCATGCAGAATATCAAAATCACACAGCCGGAAAACATGCGGACTAGGACGAACGAGAGCCGCCTGACCTCTCGAATTCGATACGGGTGCTCTCATCGCCTGAGCTACTAGTGGCCTGTCTGTCGGTTGTACGAATATTGAGTATACCCTTATCTCCGACTTGCACTGAGAACACATTTCAGTCTGAACTACTTTTCTGATGCGCTTGCAAAGTAGACCTGATAAACGCAGAAGATTAAAATTGAAACAGGCGAATTAGCATAGTTTGACAGCATCACCATGAGCAATTATATTTGGCGTTCAGTCTTAGAACACGAAACTCGTACAGACCAGACAGTCCCCAGAAGCTCAGGAGTTGAGAGAAGACGACAAAAATCAGAGGTTGGCGACTGGATTCTCTCCCAGGGCGTTATCTTGCAGGGTGAATGAGGCTCGTAGTCTTGCAGTCAAAAAGAAATGCCACTTATGTGTCACGGACTGTATCAAGATGAAAATTTATTAGTCTAGCGTCAAGGACAGTCTGGTCTGCCGTTCAGTCCCGAAGGCAGAAATGCTGAAGCATTCCTACGAGTGAAGTTCTCTCGACTGACTAAACTCCTTGGGATGGGGGGGGGATAGCTCACAGGCCACAAACCGCACGATATGTAATGCAAGCCCAAACCTCTCTGCCCCACAAGAAAAACGCTGCCTTCGTCTATGAGGCTCACTGTGACTCTAACTACCTTCCAGAAACTGCTGGAAGACCGTAGCCTCGAGTGTAGCGTGCTTTGATCATTTGCATCAATTCTCAACTTGTTATTTGCGACTTTGTACACGGATCGATGCTTGCTTGTTTATTTGAGATATACTCGGCCGGATATACATTCTTCCACTGATGAGGTTTTGCCGATTGGTGAGCACTAAGACAAATTATTGCCTGCGTACATTTTCTTAATTGAACGCGAATCCAACTGTCGCCCTGTTACGACAGTGTGTTTGGACTGCTTCGTTTAGAAAGGTTCCCACTTATGTCACAAGGAGAACTATGGATCTCAAACAAGTGTGGTTGAGTGGTAACTCGTCGCCTTAGCCCACATATATAGGACTATATCAAACGCAACAGGATGGTGCAAACGATAGGGAAGCTGACCAAAACTAACAACCAGCAGTTGAGAACACTGGCGTACAGAGATGGTAGATTACTGCAGTTGGTGGCCAGAGATTTCGGCAAAGGGAATTCGCACAAAAGTACATTCAGAAATAGGTTCTTATCAGGGCGCCTCTACTTAATATAATGGTCTTACTAGACGTCAGCTCCACTTTCTCAGACCCCAAGGCCATTTTCGGCTAAGCATTCGACGTACTTATCATCTTGAGAGAACTGGCCCGTTACAGACCGCGATGAGTGCGGAATGTCTTTTGCAGAACTATATGCTTGTTCATCAGCCGAAGGATGTACCATGAGAAATAGTGACTGAACGAGAGTTCGACCGTAGCAAGTAACGACCTTTGCAACTGCCCTCATAAGGTGGGCTTAGAGCAGTGAATTGCGCATGCTTTGCTTTACAGTGGGACAGATTTTGGTTGCATTCAACTTGCCCCTACCTACCGCATCTATCGCGTTTTGATGACAAGACGATTATAGATGGTCTTGTTCGCAGTGGCTGACAAAGCTACACAGCCCGTCGGTGTACGACACGCATCTGGGTCTCGTTAAGTGGGGCCGACCCTGGGAAATCCATACCCTCACGGCATGTCAGTGCACAGTCCTCCCTACAATAAATCTGACGCTCCCGAGTTTATCGTTACACGCTAAAAGTCGTGGCCTAAAAGGTTGCCAGTTGACTGAATAGCTCGGTCCTCGTGGTGAGTACTTTGGAGTTACTAGAAGACTGAGAGTCAGGCTGGAATGGCTCATTCCTAACAGTAGTCTTTGCGGCACTCTCATCCGCTTTAAATCTGAGTTGTCGCCACTGTAGTCCGGAAACTGTAGTACGGATCAGGTCCTGTGTGGCACGTCTAGGGGGGAGGGGGGGCATTTATCTTTGTCAGCTTATTGGGCCTGAGCCAAATTCCGGTCGTTATGACATTTTCTTGCCATCGGCGAAAAATATATTGGGAGGTGCGGGTGCGGTAGAAGCTTCGCAAGTCGCCGGTGCTGAGTCAACTCTGTGGAGCACGCGGTGAACGTCGTCGCTTTTGACGGTCGGATACTCAATTCTCGTCAAAGGTGTTTTGATCTTAAAGTAGCGGAAATGCCATAAAGGCCACATTAAGGAGTCACTGCAGCCTGATCCTCAGTTTTGAGCAGGATCGAATTACCCTGTCAGGTGTGGCAACCGTCCGAGTCACGGCTGGCCTGTCCGAGTCAGGTCGACCTTGGATAAGATTGGACGCAGTGGCCGGTGTGGTGTGCGCCTCACGCAGTCCTAACACCTGGATCTAGCGCAACATCGACGCAGCTGGTTCGGAGGGCACCACTGCGGTTGAACAGCAATCCGGACGCCGTCACTTTAAATTGAATCCCAGACTAGACTAGTGACAAGCTACCAAAATGTGCACGGGGAAGAAGTCAGCCAAAGTCAGCAGCTAACCGTCTAGGTGAGCCAATAAGAGGCGTATCTGCTGCCAGATGCCGAGGAATGTCTTCTCGGAATCAAGCTGAATGTTACCCGCGTTCGACAAGTATGACCCGTACGCCCATTGTTGCCATGGGAAGGTCGAAAACAAATAAACAACTCGTTCTACACTTTATAGCACTGTCTAATGAAATCCGTTGATCCTCTCTCTTGCCTCAACTCCAACTACCTTTTAGTGCTTGCTCGTATGACACTCCATTTCTAATTATTTTTCTACTCTACTTTCGCAAGATTCGACGGTTTTTGGTGGCAGTCTACCTGGATCCGAGTCAAATCAAGCCGGCTTACATTTGGTATTGGTCAATCCAGAGTCTGCGACGTGTGGACCTAGTGACGGTCCTGGGTCAGTCGGCCTACGCAGGACTGTTGATCCGGGGAGACGGAGGATCTACGAGCGCGGACGGGGGTCGTCTACTAACCTCTCGTCGTGTTGGCGTCTTCTCCAGCCATCCTCTGGAGGTCTCCCTCGGCACAGAACTTGGTACTATGGCCGGAGTCGGCGAGTCTCGGACACTTTCCTTCCTGCTCAACAGTACATCGGTTTACGAACTAAAGGTACGTACTTGATTCTAGCTATCCACACAACGGACCGGTGCTCTTCATCGACAAACCTAGAGCTTTTAAATATGCCTACTTACACATTAATAAGTAGGTGCAAAAAACAGGGAGATACGGACCAATCGCCGGTCAGCGTAGCGTTCGCTAGTTGTGAAGCGCGTTCACAGCAGCCGTTCTACACGGAAAGGCAGTCCCAAACAAATAACGGACGCTCGTATTAGTCTCTAACTGCTTTTCATCGACAAACCTGGAGCTTTTCACTGGAGCTACTTGCATACTGATAAGTAGGCGTGAAAAACGGGGATAGACGGACCAATCGCCGGAAAGTGGTCCAGACCACTCCGATCTTGCAGACCCATGTAGGAGTCCATACTCAGTGACGCCGAAAAGAGTTGTAGCAAATAAACGAGAAGTTTTCGGGGCTCAGCAGCCGCACTACCTGGCACTTTGATAGCAAACCACGGCAGAATGGGAACAGCAGCAGAGTCAGTCGGTTTATTAAATGGTACTTCGAGACCCGGGTGCGGAGCAGCTCTCACCCAACATTGTTGTAGTCTACGCCGTAATCTTCCTCCAAAGTCAGCCTCGTAGCATGGCTCCAGGGTGAGGACAGCAACTTTTCACGACCAATCGGTGCTCGCGTAGCTGTCAGTCCAGTCACCCTGCTGCCGACACCGTGACAAGCAGTGCCACCTTGCTCATCTACCCTTAATTGGCTGTCTTCAGAGAGGCTGCTCCCGGTCGAAGGGCGATAACGGTACATAACTCCCTGGTAATGTGTCTCGTCGTTTCAGAAACCTCTTGGGCAAATGGCGGGGACCGTCGTAGTTGTGGTGACCTACTTCCAGTAGTCTGTAAGACGAGCAGGGAGGTCCGACGGTGGCCGGCCCCTGGGGCTTGCCGGATTTTTTATGATCATTCCTCAGGTACAGTGCGTGACCTATCTCATGAAATGTTGGCTGAAATTCTGAAATGCGTTTTCGATTAGAAAGGATTACTTGGTCGCGGTTGTGATACTGATTATCTTAAGGCATACTCTTATAACATTTTGGACTCGGCATGATGTCGGCTTTTAAATGCACTTCTTTTCAATCTCCTGTAGAAAGCGTACTCGGCAAAAATGACTACTTAAGTAGCATGCATTTTCCCCATTTATTTTCGATGGTCTTTAAAATTCAAATATATTTTATAGAAACCACAAACAAAAATATGCTTTCTTTTAGTCAATCAATAGAGAATCACGTCTTCTTTATATTTTATACTTAAAGAAGACTTATAATAAGGTTTTAAAAAAAGACGTGATTCTCTATTGATTGACTAAAAGAAAGCATATTTTTGTTTGTGGTTTCTATAAAATATATTTGAATTTTAAAGACCATCGAAAATAAATGGGAAAAATGCATGCTACTTAAGTAGTCATTTTTGCCGAGTACGCTTTCTACAGGAGATTGAAAAGAAGTGCATTTTAAAGCCGACATCCTGCCGAGTCCGAAATGTTATAAGAGTATGCCTTAAGATAATCAGTATCACAACCGCGACCAAGTAATCCTTCCGAATCGAAAACACATTTCAGAATTTCAGCCAACATTTCATGAAATAGGTCACGCATTGTACACTAGACTGCATTTTCACATCTTTGCTCCGACTTTTAACACAACTACACCCGTATGTAGGTGGACAACTGTTGTATTAGCTGAGGCTGCTTGTTGGTTTGGTTGCATTCCAATGTAACTTAGCCTCAAGTCAGTCATTGAGTGTTCTCATGAGTAAAAATTCAAGGAAGACTGGTAACTCTTCCCCCTTCCCTTCTCGTGAATTGCATATTAGGGAAGACGCTCTTCGGCAACATGTGAAAATTTACTAGGATACTCTGGAATAGGCAGTTTCAACGGCGCACCAAACTCAGTGTGGTACTAAAATCGCGTCAATGTACCTCCAGAGACTAAATGGCCTAAAGTGTGGCGGACGGTCTAGCGCGCTCTGTAATAGAACAAAACAAACACTCTGAAACTCCCGTAACTAGGATGCGGGCTTTGCCAGCGGCTGAGGGCTAATCCACGGGGAAATTAAATGGAAGACGTGTCTATTGTGCCAGCGATCATTTTAAAACTACCATTAGCAGCTTGTTCAGAAGCTATAACAAGGAGATTGAGGTTTCATGGAAGTGAAGCTTACTTGTCAGTTTTTCTCGATCGCCTACAGAGCAATTAACTACTCTGGAGCCAAACCTAACTCTTAACAGCTAACGGTATTACTTAGACTTGCAGTTAACACATGCAATTTCCACGCCGTCTTTTTCATACATAAACTAAATTCCTAACTCAGAATTATCCTCCCTTTCTTGCGTTTTAGGTGAGAGTCAAGCCCAAGGCTATAGGGAAACGAAAATACCAAATAAATGTAGTCGATCAGACAAGCCGCGCCGTGTTTCACTCATGGATTCTCTGCGTCGAAACCAAAGCGCCCGAGGTTTCGCGTACGTATGACGTCCGAATACCTGTCTACGCTCGAGATGACAGTACCGGCACCCTGAATAAGCGACTTTCTTACACCAACCCCTATCCCCAGGCCAAAACACTTCAGTTAGAAAGCAGCAGACCGGATCTGGTTCAGATAAAGGTATGCGCGTCTCTCTTGCAGCTTCTATAAGCGGTTACATGTCCTTATTGCTGTTCTGTAACATTTCCGGAAAATAAACACGACTCTATCAACTATGGGCCACCCAATTGTCCTGGCAACGAACTGCGCTGGACCATAACGGGGGCCCGACTGGCTCACGTAACGCGTTTACCGGGCCGTGCTGAGTCTGCGCAAGCCCACAACTACTGGCGTAATATGGTAGGGAGTAATGGTGTGCCTAGACGCAGGTTTTCACGCTGCGTCAGGCACTACGCCCAATTCCGTCCTCACCTCGGTATGGAAGCCGACATCGTTACTTATAATGGCGGCATCTAACTCCTTAGTGTTGCTAATGATTTCATTGGTTGTCTGGCTTCCCGTTTCAGGACAGTCAGCTCGATGTCGGCGCCGGTGAGACAGCCCAGATCTGTCTAAAATTCAACGTGCTTCCATCGCCAACGACCACTAATTGCTTTGTCTTCCTAACTGATGAAAACGAGAAGATTGAGGACACTTTTGCTATCAACATTGAATATTTTTAATGCACTTCCGTATACAATTAAATTTGTCTGATCCAAGATCGTGGATATTTACGCCTTTATATACTGTCTCTGTGCGAACAGTACGCAAAGGTATATTCCAGATTTTGGTAAAATAGGGGGTCTTTCCAGTCGGTTAGCCAAGGCGAACGTGAAGAAAGGAAGGCGGGGTCTGTCTGACTCCGCCTCTACTTAATTTTGACTACAACTCTTATTTGAGGGGGAATTCCGGCGCGGTGGCCAAGTAAGCCTATTTTGTTTGGACGGTTTTCAAGTGAAGGATTTTAGAAGTCCCAACAAAATACCGACCGAATTCGACCTTTGTTTTATAAATCGTGTGACCTATACACTATGTTAGTCAAAAAGTATACCCCACCCCACACACACGTAGGAAGGGTCGGGGTAGAAGTAGCCCGCCACTTTTATAAGCCATTCATAATCGGGTGCGAATTTGCGGTCCTCAATGATTCGAATATGAGTGGGGATGCAGCTTCAAGTGCTGGACAAATTAACCGTTAGCATCATTCAACTTCTAAGAGAACATGCGGAAGTCGGACGACCAACCTCAGCTATCCAACTAGACTGCTGCATCCTCGAAGGCCACTAAAGGAAATTCCTACGAGCAACATCAATTCTGGTGAGAATCTCGTCTCTCACACATCCTTTCAGCGTAAAATTAGAACAAAAGTATTTAAAGCTTTGTAGATGCCCAAACCAACAACACTAATCGGAAGGGGGACCCTTGTCCTGGGCAGGACTCCAGCCTATCAAGCCTTGACATCCGAACACTGTTCTCCAGCGGCCAGAGCTGGCGCGTCGTAAGGTGGAACGTTTATCGGTCGTCCAGCTTGTTAGTCGGCCACTTTGCAAGCCAGATAGGGCAGGCAGTTGATTCAAACAAGGTCGAATCTTGCGTCTCATTCGAGCATCCGTCACTGTTTCTGGCTTTGTGTTGGATTTATTGAAATGATAGGTCTTTACCGCTGCAACGGCCCGAGAATGGACATTGAAGACTCGACAAGTATGTCTAAGTCTCGTCAAAACAGTTGCAGGCGATTGGGTGGAGGGGTTTGTGTGAAACCTATTTTAGCATATCACCAGAGACGACGGGCAATTCATAAAACAGCCAGGTGATAACCCCTCGAATAGACGGCGGCGGTGGTCCATCCAGACGTAGTGCCGTTAGGTCGGCAGTAACTTATCTGACAGGCTAGTAGCCTATTGAATTTGGAAAGGCATTACGACCCGCACAGCGCTGATCATCAGAAAAGACTTCTTCGTCTTCACTATTCGACATCTCGCAACAACGGAAGTGTCAAGGCCTTCATTAATGAACCAAAAACAACTAAGTGGACTGACGTTCTTCGTAGCGTAAATACATCTACACTCAGGAGGTGGCAATGCATACATTCTATAATTACAGTACCCATGATGACAGTCTGTTGCGCCTGACGTCCCTAAACCAGGCGTCAGATGAATAATGGTTTGGTTTGTTGAGACATTAGCGATCCATTGAAGAAAAAATGCATCCCCAAAGTCAGCAGCGAACTGGCATACGAATGAGGGAATTAGATCGTGGAATCCTCCTTCCCCCACCGTCGTCCGCACTTCAATTCAATATCCAATCAGTGATGTGGGTGACGGTACCATGCAAAGGGGTGACAACCGCCTTCTACGTATAATTTAAAAAGCCATTAATACCGAAACTGCAGTTGAAACAAGAGGTTCAGAAACTTTCTGCAGCTGGCAATTCACAGTCACCCATATTTCCGGTTGTCACACCGTCAGAACGCCTGATCCCAAAAGCAATCGGATCGCGGACCCCACTGAAGGGCGGATATTTCTTCACCAAGGTTGAACTTCATCGGGTACAATATCACTGTCGGAGAAACAGCTACACAGGATAAGTAATGTTAGTTGGGGGATGCTGGTGCACTTCGGCAGTCTTTTGGAGGAATGCGAATTACTTTTGATAAGGACTAAACAGGCACCTAGGAATATGGCGGTAAAATCAAAGCCTCGTACAGACACCTTGCTCTGTATGGTGGGGTTAGCCTGAGAAGGGGTTTGAGATGACGCAAATTTTCATTTGTCCTGCTACCTCTATACTGACCACCAGATGATGCCACAAAAGTGTCAAATGCAGAATGCGGCAGATAAATGAAAACTTTCTCTGACGGTGTCCAGAAGTCGAATTAAACAAAAAGGACGCAATGGAGAGAGCTACCAATTCCGAAATTGTTGACCATGCACATGAGGCCTGGAAAGCCGACTCTATCAACGAACGGCGAAAAGTAGTGATGGAGGGTAACCGACCCCATCATACAACCCGTGAATGGAACAGTTCGCCTTGTCGAAGGTCGGAAACAGCTCCTGTCATGAGGCTGAGATAAAAGGAACTGAAGGACAAGTGTTTCGGTGGCTCTCAAGGTCTGCGGATGCCATCATGGAGAATCCTGAAGCTTTTCCCAGAACACCGTCAGTTAGGAGGTACTAATCAAGGATTATTTAAAAAAAGTGCTACTAGAAGAAGTGGAACCCGCCAGATTTCCGAAATAAAAGGAACCCCGGCAAGGAGGGGCCTCCCTGTTAGCCTAACTGCTGGCTATTGCCATCTCAATGAGTGGAGAATAGTGAAAAAGGCTCCAATGAAAACTAGCCGCAAATTCGTGATAGACTTGATTCTTCCGTACACGGAGAACACGCGAATGTTACAGCAAGTCGTGGACCGTGCATTGCGAGTTCTGATGACGTCGCGATGCGTTGCATCCCAAATGGGCGCGAAAAATATGAAGTGGAATTACAAATTCATGCCTAGAGAGCAAATATGACCGCCTCCAGTCTCGTGGTAGGAGACGTCTGTTGGTCACGGTAGACGGTGAAATTCGCGAACTCGCAGACAACATTTGCGGTCTTAGGTCGGACTTCCTCAGAACAGAAAAAGACTAAATCAACCATCCAACTAATCCCATGCACGCGGTCCCCCCTGGTCGAAGTCTCTAGACTCGGCACCAGATGGGCCTGAAAACTATGCTGGGAGTAGGTAAGGCTTCCGTCAAGGCAATCTTTCCATCTAGACGTGACACATGGCCTGTGCTCCAGGAAGATACTCGCGCCCTGGAACATCCAAATGTCGGATTCGCTTCCGGCCGCATCTCCAAAGAATAATTAGTCGGATTGGAATACAACCCGTCAATTGCAACTCCCTTACTAGCGGGGTGGGGTGGCTCGGTCGTGTGTTGCGCAGCCTACGTATGAAGTCACAAGGAATATCATATTGCCCGAATCCGGCTTAGGCTATAAACCACACTGAGGTAACCGAGGTGAAGATTGGTCTCGTGAGCAAATGATTTGACCTCGCTCTGGAACTTATCGCCGACCAATTACAAAGGAGGACGATTAATCTTGATGTACTACTTACTTACTTATACTTGATACGGCTGAGATCATGCCTGATCTAGCCGGCCTCGATGATGTCCCGAATTGTACCTCTCCACGCGTGACGATCCGCGGCAGCAGATCTAGACAGCTCAACCGGGAAGACGGGTTGCCCGTTAGCCTAGCTGCTGGCTACTCGGCGCGTCCACAGGTGGCGGATAGTGGGACGACCTTCAGTGAAGGTTAGCTGCGAAATAAGCAGACCCAGGTCTGACGAATAAGCAGTCGCGGACCAGCAGCGACATTGCTACCAGGGTGCGGTGGGCTGAAGTCTGGCACGCTGAAAGCCTTATAAAATGCCGCAAAGCCCAATGACGGCACTGTGACATGGCGACCGTAAACCACCATTAAATAAGTTGTGGTTGGGTTTTTAAGCCAAAGCGCTAGAGGAGACAACCTCGAACAAACAATCCGAGCGGCTGCTGGGGACCCGCCCGTATTCGAAATTCCCAAGAAACTTCATGCAACATGTCCAATAACAGTACTACGACCCATGCTACGGCGTTCGCGAATCTTGATGTCGTGAAGATGCGACATGAACGTTGTCGCAAGTACCTGCAGCACAGACTGAAGATCCACGTGGCCGACCGGGCAGACGTTGAAGTTTAAACAGGCACTTTAATCAATTTATTCAGACTCTCGCTCGAAATTTGCTGATTTCCCATCGGTTTGATGCAGCTGTCCATGGAGAAGACCACAGGGACCACAGAAATCAGAAATTCCACTTTTATTCTCAACAACCCTGCATGCTCGGAAACACATGTCAGGGCATGCAGGATGGCAGTTACGGCACAAATTAAGCAGAACCCTCACAGTATGATCTGGATAAAAGTTGCCCCAGATAAGGGCTGTCAAATTCCTCTTCACACCTAGAACTCTACAAGGGACACGTAACGTATTGTAAAACAGTAGATGACTGCACTATCAACCAGGTTAAAATCCGACCTACAAAATCAAAAAGGGATAGGGACGAGAAAAATTCATTTCTCCTCTTTCTAACATATCCAAAAGTTCAAAACTCACGAAAGGTAGCAAGAGAGGAGACGAAGGTTGCAAATACAGGGTGTATTTTGATCGAAAAGGATAACAACCTAGATTATTTGGTCCAATTCCCGAGTGTAATCTAGCAGTATGCGCGTGAGGTCAGTGGCAGGAAGCACGTTATCAGTCTGTTTCTGTGATCGAAGGAAGCGATAAACATTCCCATCGAGGTGCCAGTTGCGCTATGCATTTGTTAGTAATTGCAATTAACATACCTGTTCCGCGTAGGCCTTCATCTGGTCTGTATCCTTAAAGAATAAGGTCTTCTTCGCTTCCGGTAGAGACAATTGTTCGTATGCTGCCTCAATACACGACGCGATTTCATCCCTTTAGAGGTGGTCAGTGCGAAGATCGAACAAACCTCGTGGCGTTGAGTAAAATATCGACGAAATAATTGTAACGCTCGGATGGGACGTTATCTTTAGCTATGAAGATCTTCTGGAAGTTCCCTTCCATCAAATACTGTTCCATGGACAATGGGTGTTTAATGTAAGGGTTTGAATTAATCTCGTCAACACTTAAGCGCTCAACTTCCTAAAGATGTAAGCGCCGAAAGCTCCTTACAGTATGGAATTCGGAAAGCCTTCCTTGAGCAAGAAGTCTCAAAAGGTTAAGGCCAAATAATTCGTATTTGTATGGCGATTCGGGAAGATTAGTTCTGTGAGGTAACGTATGTGAAAAAAGACAAACTTGTAATCGCAGTAGTAGCACTTGAGCTGAGTCATGTAACGTTCAAATGCTACCATGTCCCGCTTTTCAAGAGATAGAATTGCACCAATTTCAAGTGTATCCCCTAAAATAATGCAAGAAAGGGAAAAGGCCTACGGGCTATAAGTAATTCACGTTTTGTAGCCAAGGACTCTTGTCTCGGCATATATGAAAATCGCGTCAAATCAAGCTAATGGTCGAAATATACAAACGGTCAGTAAAGTTATACCGTAAGGTTTTCAAGCTTTTCCTGGCAAAGGGCAAGATTATGATTCTTCTTGTTCCATTCCTGAGACAGTCCCTGGAACTTGCGCACCAAGTCTTCCATAGCGATTCGTGTGCACAATTGAGACACCCAAACTGGATGCCGAATGGCCCGTGGGCATCCAACTCGATTCCTATTGGTCGACCCATATTAGTGGGTTACGACGACGACATAATCATTATATTTTAAAAACTGCCTTTTATCTAACGCGTTTTAAGCATAGGAGACCAATTCGTCAGGAGCAAATTCTTAAGTTCATTGTCACGCACGATCGATAAATACATCAAATCTTTAAGGACTCATGTAGTCCATCTAACGAAATTTAAAGGGACTGGTAGTCTCGGCAGCTTTGTACAAACAAAGCCTTCAGCTTGCTGTCGTAAGTTCGAATCCTACCGCGATTCGGTCATATACATATTTGTCAAAAACACTTCTTACTTATGCTGTTTCTGGTTTAATTTCTTAGGACACTCATCAGATTGCTTTAAGCATGTCTGTCACTATTTCGTAGACATAAATGCTCCTCGCTGAAATCGTTTTATTTTTCGGCATAACTGTTAACACCTACATTTATTGTCCGTTTAGAATATTAATTATAATAGAGCTTATCCTTACGAACTGAATTATAATCTGCCTTCTTCAATGCAGCTCTTGTTGGACTGTGTTATGCAATGCTATGTTTGTGCAATTTGCCATTATACTTCGTTATTTAGTTTCTGTCCATCCAAGCCCCTCCCATTTTTCACACATGCACATAAAGTTCTATCAGGCTTCGAATGATTGACCTGTCATGAAATCGTTTTTGATTTGGTGGTCTTTCGTAAAATGAAATATTCCTCAGTCACTAAATAATGCTGCATAAACCAAACGGTGCCTTGTTTTGAAGCTCGGTCGTGTATTTAACGCAGTATTATTTTCGTGGATGCGGGGCAGGCGTTTCGTGCACCACAGTGATTTTAGTTCGCAGTTCATGACCTTTCATGAGATAGGTCATTAACTGTTGGTTTTTAGTTCAAGTTTAAACCTAGCTCGTACTCTGCGTTATTTCAGCGAATTACAGGCAGATATCGCGGCAACTCGCAATCCCACAATTCGAGGAGCCTCTGCATATTCTGTGATGCATGATTGCTTACACACCCACCACCTTATACCGAAAACAAGGAAAATACATTAATAAGAGGAGGAGGTTTAGTTTAAAATAGACTTATCGACATTTTTGCTAAAAAGAAATACTAGACAAGCGTAGTGAAGAAAGTATTGATGACAAAAGTTAGGAAAGTAAGTAATACTGTAAACATGTCTTGGAAAGATGAGCATGCGGGCACGGTAACGACAGTCGCATTAGTTCGCGTTGTTAGAATTACTGAAACTCGTCGTCAGGAATATAAAATAGGATTTCCCAAGTTTCATCCTATATCCTTTATATATGCTGAATTAAACTGAATAAAGGTGACTCAAACAAATTCTTAATGGTATGGCAACGTAGGACCAGGACGGCTGCCACGCTGCGTTCGAAACTATGTATGTATTTATTTGAAGGGTTAGAGGCAACGTCCTTGATGACCCTATTTATGTGCAATGTTTTCACAGATTCGCATTCAAAATAAAGTTGCAAACATGTACAATGTGATGGGACAACAGTATAATCATAACGATAAGGAAGCGCATCTGTTCACTTCTAGTTAGTGCGGAAAGACTCTGTATGACGAAGTGTTTTACAGAGTTGGCCGTGTGTAATCATGTTGTAAAAGCCGGTTTCAGTCGAAAGTCAAGCGAGCAAGTTTTCTTTTAAACATGCAAATGTTGTCAACCGCCACGATCTAGCTTAGAAGCGAGTTCCTTGGTCGGCCAGTCAGCTAGCTGAATGAAAACTTCCTACGGTCTAACCGCGTGCGTTCACTCTTAACTTTGTAAAGATGACCGCGTGATTGGTTTGTATGGGCAAACTTAAAAACGTTCTCCGTTCTTAGAGATAAACCTTGGCCACGGAAAATCCGGAATGTTCAGAGTAAACTAAGTTTATTTGCCTATAGAAAAGAGGGAACAAGCCAAACAAATCCATCCTCTCCTGGGAAATAAATGTTTTAGACCGTCGACCATCTTCGATGCACCGCGTCGCACCTGTTCGAGTAAGTCAATATCCTTCCTCATCCATGGGGAAATGGCTGGCTTTCCATACCTCAGATGGGGTCTTACAAAGACGCCAAAATTCTTTCGAAGATATCGGGAGGTAATATTTTAAATGCTCGTCTGATCCAGTGTAAAGTACTAGTTGCCTTCTGAACCATCTTTCTACATTTTTCTGAGGGCATTAGATTTGTGGTCATCCATACACCCAGATCTCTGTGTCTTCCTACAGGTTCTAACGCTGTCCTGTTAGTTTAGTATTGGTGCATGGGAGAGGCATTTCGGTAGCTGTTGAGGTGCAAAACCACGCATTTGGACACTTAAAACTTCAGTAGCAATCTATTGGACCAAACGCTCAGTTTGTCGATGTTCGACTGCAGCCTCTGTGCGTCATCATCGCACTTGACTTTACTCCATATTTTTATATCGTCTGCAAGCATGAGGATCTCACAGCCCAGTTCGCTGATGCAATCATTAACATAAGTCAGGATAAGTAGTGAGCCTAAGACAGAACCCTTTCGGACATTACTTTCCAAATCTGCCCATTCCGAAGTAGAGTTACCATCAACGAGTCTTTGCAATTTGGAGGACAGAAAACGTCCGATCCATTTACACATTTTTCCTTGAATTCCTTCATCCCAGATCTTCTATAAACTGAGCCTTATGGGGCACTGGGAAAGGTCTTCTGGAAATCAAAAATATGATATCTACTGGATAAGCCTTATCGGTAGCTCTCGTCCATTTCCCTTGCGAGTTAAGAACACTCGTCAGGCAGAAGCGACCTGGACGAATGCCATGTTGGGCATCACAAAAAATTTTGTTTTTTTTTCCTTGTATTACATCAACTGTCTTCTGATAATGCGTTCCATTCTTTTACACGAGATGCAAGTAGAACTGACGGGACGATAAGTTGCGCAGTCAAGTCCTGAACCTCCTAAATGAATCGGAGTGATGAGTGCGCACTTCCATTCTTCCGGGAGGTCTCCTTTTCCGAATGACTTTTGACATATTGCAGACAATGTTTCGCACGGTTCATTAGCAAGTATACGAAGTGCCAATGAGGTAATTTTATCTGGGCCAGGCAATTTGACAGGTTTCAGCCGGAGTAGTTCGACCCTTGCTTTTGTCGATGAAAAAAGTAGTTCCTCGATTTAGGGGGTAGGGAGGGGGTAAAAGGGGGAAGGGGAGTAGGAGGAGACGTTGTTTGACGAAGGGGTGGATGGGCAAACATAGAACTAAGTTCTCGAGTGAAGACGAAATGAAATAAATTGGAAATAATAATAATTTTTTATCAAAGACCCGCCGGCGTCCCATCAAAGCAAGTAAAAATAAATTTACATGCGAATTTTAGACGAGGTAGGCAGAATCTTTACAAATTGCAATTCATAGTTTCTGGATTAGTAGTCCATTGGGAAAAATGACTAGCGAGGGGTGAAAAAATTCCATGGAAAAAATTAAAAATGATCGGATTAATTTTACAGGAGAAAAAACCCTCAATAAAAAAATAATAACAGAAAACTGCGGGCAGTACTGGCCTGTATGTGGCGGTATTTAACGGATTTCAGTTCAGTTCAGTTTATTGAGGGAAATAGGCGTAAGCCTTTGAGTACCCTATTTGCAACGTAAAAAATGTGTGGTGTACAGATAGATGTTCTGGGCTGAAATAGTTCGAACACGCCCATAATGGTGGGACAAAATGAGAAGGAGTTACAGGGGGTGAGCTCGACTTCTCATCGCTCTTGGTCATTTCGGAACATAAATATGTCCAGATTCTTCTTAAAACTTTGTATAGATGGTGACATCACAACATCTGAGGGAAGCTCATTCCACGGTTTGACCACCCGAACCGAGAAGGAGAACCTCCGCACATCCAGCCGTGCCTGCTGAGTGCGCAGTTTTAACGGGTGACCTCGGAGGTTGGTCGTGGTAGAAAATTCAAAAAAGTCCTCGAAGGCCAGACTGCAATCCAACCCCTTTACAATGCGGAAGGCTTGCAAGAGATCTCCGCGAAGTTGCCTGTAACTCAAAGGAAAGAAGTTCAGATTTACTAGGCGGGTCGCATAAGGAAAGGAGCTTTGACCCCTAACCATCTTCGTGGATCTCCTCTGGACTCTTTCGAGGTAGTTTTGATCCTCAACAGCCCACGGCCTCCAAGCTTGTATGCGGAACTCTAAATGCGGCCGGACGAATGTTCCGAATGTCTTAGAGAAAGCTTCTTCGTCAAAGTCCATAAACGCACGCTTGATGGCGTACAGTACGAACATTGCGGTTTTTGACACCCTCGAACAGTGGGCGGATGGATTTAAGGAACTCGTCGTCAGCACACCGAGGTCCCTTTGGGCTTCGACCTCTTGTAGGGCTGCACCGCCCAGAAAGTAGCCTCTTGTGCTGGCGGATCTGGCTGTGTTGCCTAGGCGAAGTATGCTACATTTGGCAACGTTAAACCGCAGGAGTCAACGGTTTGACCACTCCTCCAACCGATTCAGGTTCATTTTCGGTCTGTCTTCATCGGCAGGACCCCGAATTACACTCCATATCTTCATGTCATCCGCAAACATTGCTACTTCCCAGTCCAAAGCTCTTGTGTCATCGTCCACGTATATAAGGAACAAAATGGGTCCCAATACTGAACCCTGGGGGACACCACTATCGACCATAGCCGGATCAGATTTTCCCCGACCGTTGCACACAACCTGGTGTCGACCCACAAGGAAGTTTTCGATCCATTTATGGAAGTTGTCCCCGATCCCTATTTTTTTTCAGCTTATGTAAGAGCCTTTGGTGCGGCACAGTGTCGAAAGCCTTCTGGAAGTCGATGAAGGCTATGTGGACCGCGTGCCTGTCGTCGAGAGCTCGGGTCCAGCTCTGGAGAGATTGCAGCAGGTTTTTCGTGCAGGATCTTCCTTTTCGGAACCCATGTTGGCATTTCGATAGTA